TCGTGGATCGTTTATTAATAGATGCTGGATTATATTGAATTAATGAGTAGTTCATTACCAAAAATGAAACCCTTTTTGCTGCCTAGATTCTAGTAGTTTCTGCAGATTGTGGTGATCCATTTCTTTCTTTATCTACAGCTGTGTAAATAAATATAACTCTGACCTCTTAAATCTAAATGTGGACAGATTTTCTCCCATTTGATTTGTTTCTGTGTCTTCACGACATTAAAGCCATGCTGACACTCAGTAAGCCTGTATACCCTGTGTTGTAGCGTTACAACAGGAAGGATACATCTCTGTGATGAGCACCAGAGTGCGTCGGGTGGAGAAGAAGTCGAGCAGGCAGGCGACTCGGGGGTGCGCCAGGCGGGACAGCAGGTCTCTCTCCTGGAAGCCTCTGGTCCGAGTGCTGCTCCTCACAGGGAGGAACTTAGCAGCGAACACTTCCCCCGTCCGTCTGTGGACGACACGCTTCACCACCCCGAAGGTTCCCCTAAAACACACAGAGAAGGATCAATCAGATTAGATCATACCAAGGCTTGCTGTGTGTACGTTTTCACGGAAACATGGCTAAATGACAACATCCCACTTCTCCCCCCCCCTGCCCCCACTGGACTTTAAAAGGTCTCCTATTATGCTATTTTTAGGCATATATTATGGGTCTCAGATATATAAAAAATCTGGATCAGCTCCGTTGCAGCCCCGTTTTTAGAGATTTGGGTACGGAGGAAAAGAGAGAGGGTTTTGTTTTCTGACGCTGCGTGAGTTCCCTGACGCACCGGGGACACATATTGATGTATAAAAGACATCAACAAGTGCATTTTGCATGATAGGTGACCTTTAACACCCCACACACACTCAGACACTCAAATCCAGCACCAGACACTTTCTACGCTGCTATGGTCAGTCTTGCACTAATGCACATTTCTCAAAGTTATTGAAGTGACTGTTATTTTGTATATATCGATTGTTGTGCTTTTATTTAGGTCTTAATGTGTGCATATGTACAAATGTGTCTGTTGATTGTGTATATAGATATAGGTATATACATATTTTTATATATCTTTGTTATTGTATTCGGGATTGTGGGAAACGGTATTTCGATCTCTCTGTCAAGCTTAACACAAACTCAAAGATTGACAATAAAGTTGACTTTGACTTAAAGGCAGATTGGTTTTATTAATATTGATTATGTTCACCTTCCAATTTCCTTGTGGATATCATAGACGGAGAATAACTTCCTCCTCTTCCCGAGCTCCACCTCTCGCTCCTGACTCTCCAGAGGGCCTGCAGAGGAAATCAAACCTGAGAATAAAACAAGTCCAACACCTGGAGCAACATCAACTGTAATCCTTTTCATTCAAACTTTGTTTACAGGGAAGCACACAGACTTGAATATGATGCATTCTGCTCACCTTCCTCCACGTTGAGCTCCGCCTGGCATGAAGCATGTCCGGATTCGTTGAAGGCGAAGCAGGTGTAGGAGCCTCCGTCCTCGCCCTCCGGACACACGATGGTCACTGAGAAACGAGCTCCGTGCTGAACTATCTGCACATTGTCATCAGCTGCAAGCTCCTCTCCATCCTCCAAACACAAGAGTCAACATTTAGTAGGGAGAGATATGAGGTCTACAAATACTGGTCCAAGGTGTGTCCTCCTTAAATAACATAATGCCCTCCTGCAGCCCCTGTGATCTATGAAAAATGGCTGTTTAACTGCTAAAAAACAAAGTTCAGTTGATGTTTATTGTCCAACTAGGGAACATTTGACTTGCAGCAGTTCACAATAAACCACACCAGAAAACGTATAACAATTCAACAATAAATGAAACATCTTTAAATAGATTTGTTTTGAGGAAATGGATAAAATAATGAATAAAACATCTTGTGCTGCGGTGATAAGTGTTGGCAGAAAGTGCAAAGGTGCAAAGTAACATTTCTTTTTTTAATAGGTGTGTCACTGTATCATCATATGAGGCGGGTGGCGCAGTGGACTAGTGCGTTGGTGTTGGGATCAGGGGGTCACAGGTTCAAACCCCACAGCATGTCGTTGTGTCCCTGAGACACTTCACCCCAAATTGCTCCTGTGGGGATTGTCCACAGTATTGAGTATGTAAGTCGCTTTGGATAAAAGTGTCTAACAAGTGACATGTAATGTAATGTTATCATATAATGCGTAAATAAAATAATAAGATAGGTATTTCTTATCTGTGACATTTATGGTATGCATTTTTGCATGTATCCCAGGTTAATCAGACTTAAAAAGCATATATGGAAGTAACTTGCATTGAAGGAATATGATGTGTTATCCATCCCTAAATCATTTCACAGCCAGGCATAAACCTTTAAGTCTGAAAAGTGAAGCCAATAATGAAGTGCCTTAAAGCCTTAAAGTTCTCTCTAATATCCAGCAGGGGGCGACCCAATAGAGGTCAGATTGTGTGGAAGTCAATGTGAGATGTAAGTATTTTCCTCTTGATTTATGAGCTCAGTAAACTTTAAAAAGAAAAATGAGATCATGGTCTCCATCTCTACTTTATAGTTTTCTTAATTAAAAACACATTTGTAAATATTGGCCGAATTTAGAATCAAAATAGAGCGTCAGTCAGGCTCTGGTTTAGGGCGGGGCTTACTTGTGATTGACAGGTTGCTCCCACCAGTGTTGTGCATCCTACCTTGTACCACTGCACATTAGGGGAGGGTCTTCCTGTGATGATGGCAGTGAATGTAGCCGGTGTGCCGGGGTCTACACTCAGATCCTCAGCCGGGACCTGGATGGAGGGGGGGGCTGAACGGGAGAGCAGATCAATAGTTAAAGTGGTGATAGACACTATTTTTGCTTTAAATGATCAGTGTAAAGTCAAGGTGTCGAATGTTGCTATCTCCCTTTGAAAATAAAAGTCCTAGGAAACAAAGGAAAGGATCCAACAGCTGCAACAACAGTAAAAGTACTTGAAAGCACTAAAGGGGGAAAAGTAAGAACAGTTATGCATTTCTACTTTAAAGAGGGAGTAATACCATCTTTCATTTCCTGCATTTGCTCTGAGATGAAGATCTCCTCCTCTTCCTCCAGGTACAGAGGCGGCTGCTGCACCACCTGACCCACAGAGGCCGAGGGGGGGGCAGCCTCTTCAGTACATTCAGCTCTGGAGAGGAAGATGTGATGAAAGAACAATGCAAGTATGAATTATGGATAACCATTTTGATTTGTACTCTTTTACAACCCAGTTCTTATTTAGTGTTGCTCGTCCAAAGTCCTACATTGTGAGTTTGGAGAGTCAGAATGGGTCTCCTTCTGCAATTCTTACCTACAGCAATTTGTTAGTTTTCGAACATGAACAAAAATGAGGTGTGTCACTGTATCATCATATAATGCGTAAATAAAACAATAAGATAGGTATTTCTTATCTGTGACATTTATGGTATGCATGTATCCCAGGTTAATCACACAAGCATATATAAAAGTAACTTGCATTGAAGGAATATGATATTTTATCCATCCCTAAATCATTTCACAGCCAGGCATAAACCTTTAAGTCTGAAAAGTGAAGCCAATGATGAAGTGCCTTAACCCTCCTGTTGTGTTCGGGTCAAATCTGACCGATTTACTACTTTCATCAATCAAGTCTCTGAAAAGTAACAAGAGTTGTTCATGGTTCCCTCCCCCGGAAATTATATGATTTGGGGATCAAGTTTTCAGATATATTTTCAAGTCAAAAGGGCTAAGTCCAAACCAAAGTCACGAGTCACCAGAGGTGGGAAGTAACTAAGTACATTTATTCAAGTTCTGTACTTAAGTACAATTTTGAGGTACTTTGAGGATTTCCTGTTACTTTGCACTTCTACTCCTCTACAGTTCAGAGGTAAATGGTATACTTTTACTCCACTAAATGTAGAGTCTGTAGTTACTTTCCAGATGTGGATGAATGATGTGAAATATAATCAAGTGTTAAATCAGACTTTAGTTCCACCTGGAGTAAATTCACAAGCTACCCTGCAGTATACAAAGTCATTCAAACTAGCTGCACCTTTACCAGCTTTGAGAACACTTTCATGATCAATCATTATAAAACATATCATATATATTATTCTGAAATGGACCAATCTGCACAATGACTACTTTTACTGTCGCTACTTTCACTATATTTTGATGATAATACTTTTCTACTTTTACTTGAGTAACATTTTTGAATGCAGGACTTTTACTGTAACAGAGTATTCCTACACTCTGGTACTTCTACTTTTACTCAAGTACAAGATCTGAGTACTTCTACTTTTACTCAAGTACAAGATCTGAGTACTTCTACTTTTACTCAAGTACAAGATCTGAGTACTTCTACTTTTACTCAAGTACAAGATCTGAGTACTTCTACTTTTACTCAAGTACAAGATCTGAGTACTTCTACTTTTACTCAAGTACAAGATCTGAGTACTTCTACTTTTACTCAAGTACAAGATCTGAATACTTCTACTTTTACTCAAGTACAAGATCTGAGTACTTCTACTTTTACTCAAGCACAAGATCTGAGTACTTCTACTTTTACTCAAGTACAAGATCTGAATACTTCTACTTTTACTCAAGTACACGATCTGAGTACTTCTACTTTTACTCAAGTACACGATCTGAGTACTTCTACTTTTACTCAAGTACAATATCTGAGTGCTTCTACTTTTACTCAAGTACAAGATCTGAGTACTTCTACTTTTACTCAAGTACAAGATCTGAGTACTTCTACTTTTACTCAAGCACAAGATCTGAGTACTTCTACTTTTACTCAAGTACAAGATCTGAATACTTCTACTTTTACTCAAGTACAAGATCTGAGTACTTCTACTTTTACTCAAGTACAATATCTGAGTACTTCTACTTTTACTCAAGTACAAGATCTGAGTACTTCTACTTTTACTCAAGTACAAGATCTGAGTACTTCTACTTTTACTCAAGTACAAGATCTGAATACTTCTACTTTTACTCATGTACAAGATCTGAGTACTTCTCCTACCTCTGCGAGTCACTGGTGTAAAAATCCAAAAGTGATTTGAAATGTTTTTTTTGTGACTGGAGTCCAAGTCATGTGACTAAAGTCAACACTCTTTATCTATAAAAATAATTATATTTCTAAAGTTTGGGAATAATTCCTCCCTAACTTTTCAATAACCCAACCACAGACAGAATGCACCAGGTTGAGGCTGAAGCTTGTTTAATGTACAGGTTAATACCATAATATTAGAGGCACTAACGTACTGTTCGGGGTGTTCGGGGGGGAAGAGCATCTTAGCGATGGAGGTGGGGCTGAAATCAGTCTGCAGCCATTTCTTCACAAAGGCAGCGGACCAACCCTCAGAGTCTGCGTCTACAGAAACAAAACATCTACTCAGAAAGAATTTAAGGGTAAGACACTTATTTAAATATATTTTGAGGTATTATTATGCAGCAAAAAGTGGAGAAAAGTACATTACCTTACACACCTGGAACGTTATTAATGCATTTCTTACCTTAACGTGAGGGCTTACCCCCACTAACCCAACACATCAACAGGAAGTGAGCGTAACCCACTTCCTCCCAGCACATGACCATCTGGTGTTGAAGGAGTGAGGAGTTAGCTGGGCATGCAGGAGGAGAAAGGGAAATGCTGAGAGGTTATTTGTTATCGTGACAATGATGACTTACATGGAGCGGTCCATGTGAGGAACTTCCTGCTTCAGGAATAGTCGAGAGGGGAGATGGAAAAACATGGAGGTTATGGACAATGGCAGGGAAAACATGGTGAACCCGAGTCAAAGTAAAGGACATTATGTATATATATGCAAGTGAAACCACATCATTATTCTGAATAAGTCTGACTTCTCACGTACTGTTTTATTCTACTTTCTATAGTTACAGTGGTAGATTAATAGCTACTAGTTCAAATGACAAATACCTACACATAGTAAAGTAAAAGTGATACTTATGTGTTTTTATTTGATTTCATTATGACTGTCGACGTCAACGTTAATCTGACTTTTGGTTTAATAGATACATAATTGTCTAGTCTGTCTAATTTTGTGCAGACTATACATAATACATATAAATGACACATACAGTATGCAAGTGAAACAACTGAAACCACATCATTATTCTGAATAAGTCTGACTTCTCACGTACGGTTTTATTCTACTTTCTATAGTTACAATGGTAAATGAATAGCTACTAGTTCAAATGACAAACACCTACACATAGTACAGTAAAAGTGGTACTTATTTTATTCTATTATGGCTGTCGACGTCATGGTTTATCTGACTTTTGGTGTAATAGATGAAAAAATGTCTAGTCTGTCTAATTTTGTGCAAACTATACATAATACATATAAATGACACATAACGTTGGCAGGGATGGAAAATCCAATGGTACAAGAAATCTGGTTCTAGACCCATAGTTTTATGCATATTATATATATATATATATGTTGCATTGATTGTTGCTTGAGATATGACTAACGTAGCTTTAGTTATACCTATAAAACAAGGCCATTTGAATCTGCATCCCGAACCCCAACCCAGGCCCTCTGTGGAGAGTGGAAACGTGATGAAAAACACAAAAAACATTCCATACAGTATATGTATTGATGTCTTTTTATGGGTGAGGATGCTGGGAAAATACAGTATGGTTTCTATATAGGATGGAAGACACTTGATCCCCCAGGGTTATGGCAATAGAAGGCTGTTCGAAAAATGTATTATTATTAGTTAATACGTTTTATTTTCATATGACTGATTCATAATCACTTTGATGAACTTTCCAAGTGAATTTCACACAGAAGCAGAAATTAACTCACCACTATTTAAACAAACTTATAAAGAGAGCGTTGAAATATATTAATGATAAAAATGTTTAAATACACATATCCTCATGTATTGAGATATAAAACAGGGTCTCGAAATATGGTGATAGCTTAACTCTCTCATGTTCCGAATAACCCAGCTTCCCCAAATATCTTTTTGGTGTCTATCTACGCTGGGATCCTGAGTCGTGACTGATCCTGAGTCCTGATCTGAGTCCTGATCTGAGTCCTGATCTGAGTCCTGGACTTCGAGTCGTGGCTGAACCTGTCTCTGCGGTCCTGCCTGACTCTCATCATACTACTTCCCTGATGGCTCCCACAGGATTGTTGACATCCTCGTGGATTCATCTTCTTATTATAGACACATGCATTTCCAAACATTTGGTCTACCTATGCTGTAAAATGTATTATCTCTTCGATTTACACACGGCATCTATTGGACGTCTGTCCGTCCTGGGAGAGGGATCCCTCCTCTGTTGCTCTCCCTGAGGTCTCTCCCATGTTCCCCTTTAAACTGTGGGGTTTCTCTGGAAGTGTTTCCTATACGATGTGAGGGTCTAAGGACAGAGTGTGTCGTATTGTCATACTGATATTCTGTACAAACTGTGAAGTCCACTGAGACCAATGTAACATTTGTGATATTGGGTTGTATAAATAAACATTGATTGATTGATTGATAATGCCTTTTGCAGATGAGCCCATTGTATGAGGTGCATTGTAAGAGAATTACATTACAGGCTGGCTTTTAAATCAAGTATTTTAGACCATAAAATGATATAGAAATAAGATAGTCCATGCTATTTTCTATAGTTGTATAGTCTAGAATAGTCTATTCCATAATTCCCAGGGATCAAGGGACACTTGGTATGGTAGTTTGAAGTATGATGTAATTGTGTGTGAAATGAAAAAAGGGGAAAATGAATAAAATCTCAAAATGTACTGGATCAAATGGATAAGTGGTTGAAAGTGGAATTTGTGTTTTTTTGGGAGGTAAAAAGATGTCATGTGATGATGTGAAGTAAAACATGGTGACGGGATCAGAAGTGAAGAGATCATGTGAACAATGGCATGTGCTTCTTTCCCATGATGCACCCTGAGTGCAGGATATTTACCTGCAGCGTGTCGCTCTGTCCTACCTTTAGGAGGTAAGTCCTGCGGCCGGTCGTCCTCAATGTCGGTCGGCGGGACGTAAACTGGGCAGAGACCGGCTTTACACTTCACACAGCCAAACTCATTACACAGCTGAAACACACAGGACAATCAGAATGAAATGAGAAAAAGCACAATATACAATGGAGGAAATAGGTATTTGATCCCCTGCAGATTTTGTAAGTTTGCCCACTAACAAATAAATTAACAGTCTATAATTTTAATGGTAGGTTTATATAAACAGTGAGAGTAAGAATATCAAAAAGAAAATCCAGAAATTGACATTAAATAAAAGATAAAAATGTGCATTTGCATTTAACTCTGGGAATGTCTTAGTACTTGCTGGAGAAACCCTTGTTGGACACACAGAGGTCAGAGGGCCTAGGTATAAAAGTCACGGCTCGCCACTGATTGTAATATACACATGTTTACATAATTAACATATGAAGATAGGTGGCTATTGTGAAGATGCCTTTACATTTGGAATCTTTTGATTAAATGGATATGTTTTTACCTCACACTCATACTGTCCGATATCTTCCTCCGTTGCCGTGGTGACCGTCAGAGACAAGATGCCGCTCCGAGCATCGTTCAGGATCAAGTATTTCTGCTGATCGCTCAGCTCTCTGCCATCTTTCATCCACCTGCAAAAAGAAAATCTGGATCAAAATCTGGCTTATTGCAAGATGAAGAAATGTGCCTTGGTTCTTTTGCGCATAGACAAGAAATATAAATACAGAAAAGAAGAAATACGTGTCTAAAAAGAGCTGGGTGAAATGTATTGATGTTTTTTTCCACACACAATAATCGATATATTACGTGGTAACTACTGTAGGTCAGTGTTGTCATACCGTATCCGTGGTAGAGGAGCAGTCAGGGTGGAGCAGGTGAACTGAACGTCTTCTCCTTCGATCAGACAGGCGCTCTCCAGCCGACACACAAACCTGGGTGGAGCTGCAGAGAAGAAGAAGAAACACATTCAAGTATCAGCTGTTTGCCTCGCTTTTTGTAACTAGACCTTTTGTCTTTTTTTTACTGCATTTGGGTCCTATTTTCCCCCAAGCCTGACAGATTCCATCGTTTTGTGAATGGGATTTCACAGATTGAAGTGGGACTGGAACTTGAATGTCCGTTTGAATTTGTTTTTTCTCCTCCCCCCCAGACTCACCCCTCACCACCACCTTGGCCAGAGTCCCGGCGCTGCCCATGGAGCTGGAGGCGTAGCAGGCGTACTGCCCCGAGTCCTCAGAGGAGAGGCTGTCCAGGACCAGCGTGCAGCCGCCAGAGCGCTCAGAGGAGATGATGTGACGGGGGTCGTCCTCCAGAGGGAGGCCGTCTGAGGGGGGGGGCATCAGAGAGTTACTGTCAAACCATCAGAGGTGGGAAGTAGTGGAGTAAAAATACTTCGTTACTGTACTCAAGTACATTTTTCTGGTATCAGTACTTTACTCCACTACTTATTTTTCTGACGACTTTTTACTTTGACTTCTTACATTTTGAACACAAATAACTGTACTTTCTACTTCTTACATGTTGAACCCAAATACCTGTACTTTCTACTTCTTACATGTTGAACCCAAATACCTGTACTTTCTACTTCTTACATGTTGAACCCAAATACCTGTACTTTCTACTTCTTACATGTTGAACACAAATACCTGTACTTTCTACTTCTTACATGTTGAACACAAATACCTGTACTTTCTACTTCTTACATTTTGAACACAAATACCTGTACTTTCTACTTCTTACATGTTGAACACAAATACCTGTACTTTCTACTTCTTACATGTTGAACACAAATACCTGTACTTTCTACTTCTTACATGTTGAACACAAATACCTGTACTTTCTACTTCTTACATGTTGAACACAAATACCTGTACTTTCTACTTCTTACATGTTGAACCCAAATACCTGTACTTTCTACTTCTTACATGTTGAACACAAATACCTGTACTTTCTACTTCTTACATGTTGAACACAAATACCTGTACTTTCTACTTCTTACATTTTGAACACAAATACCTGAACTTTCTACTTCTTACATGTTGAACACAAATACCTGAACTTTCTACTTCTTACATTTTGAACACAAATACCTGAACTTTCTACTTCTTACATTTTGAACACAAATACCTGAACTTTCTACTTCTTACATGTTGAACACAAATACCTGTACTTTCTACTTCTTACATGTTGAACACAAATACCTGAACTTTCTACTTCTTACATTCTGAACACAAATACCTGTACTTTCTACTTCTTACATGTTGAACACAAATACCTGTACTTTCTACTTCTTACATGTTGAACACAAATACCTGTACTTTCTACTTCTTACATTTTGAACACAAATACCTGAACTTTCTACTTCTTACATTTTGAACACAAATACCTGAACTTTCTACTTCTTACATTCTGAACACAAATACCTGTACTTTCTACTTCTTACATGTTGAACACAAATACCTGTACTTTCTACTTCTTACATGTTGAACACAAATACCTGTACTTTCTACTTCTTACATGTTGAACACAAATACCTGTACTTTCTACTTCTTCCATTTTGAACACAAATACCTGTACTTTCTACTTCTTACATTCTGAACACAAATACCTGTACTTTCTACTTCTTACATTTTGAACACAAATACCTGTACTTTCTACTTCTTACATTCTGAACACAAATACCTGTACTTTCTACTTCTTACATTCTGAACACAAATACCTGTACTTTCTACTTCTTACATTTTGAACACAAATACCTGAACTTTCTACTTCTTACATTCTGAACACAAATACCTGTACTTTCTACTTCTTACATTTTGAACACAAATACCTGTACTTTCTACTTCTTACATGTTGAACACAAATACCTGTACTTTCTACTTCTTACATGTTGAACACAAATACCTGTACTTTCTATTTCTTACATGTTGAACACAAATACCTGTACTTTCTACTTCTTACATGTTGAACACAAATACCTGTACTTTCTACTTCTTACATTTTGAACACAAATACCTGTACTTTCTACTTCTTACATGTTGAACACAAATACCTGTACTTTCTACTTCTTACATGTTGAACACAAATACCTGTACTTTCTACTTCTTACATGTTGAACACAAATACCTGTACTTTCTACTTCTTACATGTTGAACACAAATACCTGTACTTTCTACTTCTTACATGTTGAACACAAATACCTGTACTTTCTACTTCTTACATGTTGAACACAAATACCTGTACTTTCTACTTCTCACATTTTCCAAACAGGCTGGTTCCTTTAGTTTGAATGTGTGTTTGGTGGCGTGATCATTATTATTTAGAGTCATTGCGTGCCTATTGATTTGAACACGATCCGTGTATCCATCATTTCCTGGTCTTCTCTAAAGAAGAGGGACCAATGAAAACGTTGTCATGTTGCCGTTGTTCAGCATGGAAACATTCATTAGCTAACAATGACATTATTGTTCTATTAATATAAAGGGAGGTCAGGTACTCTTTAAAACAGCTGCTAGTTATGGGTACTTTTTACTGAAGTACATTTCAAAGCCCTCTTTACTTTGACTTGAGTAAAGAAGTTTAGTCAGTAGTTCTACTTTTACCAGAGTATTTTTAAACACGAGTATCTGTACTTCTACTTGAGTAAAGGATGTGTGTACTTTTGCCATCTCTGCAAACCATCAGTGAAAACAAACAATGCACGTCTGCACATTTTCTTCTTGGGTAAATGAGGAAGAAACATTACAGGGGGTAAAACACTTTGGTACAGTATGTAGTATATTCATATCTTAATGAGGTTTTCTGACCTTTGAGCCAGCTGACCTCCGGTTTGGGCGACCCTGAGACCCTGCAGGTCAGTTTGATGGTCTCTCCTATCTTTGAGGTGCAGTCAGACAGCAGAGACTCAAACACTGGAGGACCTGTTGGTACACACAAATACAAAGACATCAAATCATGTGAGATTTAAAAGAAAAACGAGCAGCTTCTGCAATAAACGCAATCAAAAAATATACTTTTGTTTGGAAGTTAGCAGCAATACATCTGTAAGCAGAGAGAAACAGTAAAACATAGAATCTATTTCACACTAAATTGTCATTGCAGCTTCTAAAAAGATGCAACTACAATGCCTGTGCAGTGCTATTGCATGATTAAAAGGTATGGACTGAACATTTCAAATATAGCATTTTAGTTTTTTTCAGTTACAAAGGTTGTTGTTTACGAAATCCGACATCTGTGTGGAAAAAAGGGGTAAAAAAAAGGAACATTATTGAGAAACTTAAATAAACACTGCTTAAAGGTGGGGTAGGTAAGTTTGAGAAACCGGCTCGAGATACACTTTTTGTTATATTCCATGGAATGCTCTTAACATCCCGATAGCAATGAATATCTGAAGTGCTTTGACAAAAAATCCATAAAGAAATGTCACCTGTGGAAGCCGTAGTACTGTAAAAAGCACGACCAATCATTTGAGCCGGCCCGGCTAAAGTAACTGGATGGCCTGCCTGCCTGTCAGCCTTCCATCTGTGCACAAACTTATCTCGTGCCCTCATTGGTCATGTGCGCGTTCGTGTGTGTTGGAGGAGGGGCTCTGTGAGGAAGTGGCAGATTTTTTCCGGCTGTGTATTTTCAAATTCTAGCGATCTCGAGCCGGTTTCTCAAAAATGACCTACCCTACCTTTAAGCTGCCATTGCAGGATTCAAGGATTTAAGGCTTTTATTGTCATGTGTGCATACTGTAGCTACAGTGTAGATATATCAATGAAAATCTTAGGTCACAGGCTCCTCCAAGAGTGCAACACAATAAAACAGATAAGATAGTTAAACAAACACTTCAATAATACGAAACAAAGGCAGAGTTGGAAAGGAGCCGAAGACACGGCAGCCATCATCGATTAGAGCATATTGATTGAAAATAGACAGTAAAAAATGTCGATATAGTTTTGATTCATTGATAATAATATGCATATATAATATCCTGCTTTATATTTTGTTACTGTACATTTGTAATTCAACATGTATATTTTCTACTTTTTTTTTTTTAAATGCTATTTTATTTCTATTGAGATGTTTACATTTTGGAAATGTTATTTCTTATGCTGCTGCAACGCAAACATTTCCCAAATTGGGATCAATAAAGTACTTCTTATCTTATCTTCTAAATATAAGCTGAGGGGCACTCACTGTTGCCGGGCAGACTGGCCCTCTGCTGCAGCTCCTTCAGGTCCTTCAGCCAGGAGAGCTTCACCGCGGGGGGGCCCTGCAGCGTCAGCCTCCTCACGGACCCCCGGTGCTCATGCCACAGACCCCAACACCTCTCATCTCCACCCAGAACCTCCTTCACCTCCACGTCATTCAGCTGGAGGAGGAGGAGGAGGAGGAGGAGGAGGAGGAGGAGGAGGAGGAGGAGGAGTGACAATAAGAGGAAGAGGCATAAATCATCTCTGACGACAGCGTACCAATAGGATAAAGCAGGGGTGTCCACACTTTTTTCACTGAGGGCCACTGTTGGGAAAATACTGAATGTCCTCTTCCAATATGAGAGTAACATGCTAACAAAGGTATCCCAACTGTAGCTGTGTGCATGACAGGATGTATGATTACCTAGAAGAGCATCAGGACTGTTTGAGGCATATGATAGCTATGTGATTAACATGATGATTCAGCCTCTATGGAGAGAGACATATGACAAGCATGATCATTTCTGACGTGGAGCTAATCTGAAGTAAACATTGAATACTGCTTTCTATTCCTCCATCTTGTGACTGTGTAACTCCCTCTCTTGTATATCAGCATGTGAAGGACACTGTTCAGGAACTAGTTGATGCTCTGTATGTGATGACTACTTCCATTCTGGAGAGGATCAGAAATACATGGATCCTGAGATTGAAGCTCAAGCCGGTGACGAGTGAGATTTTTCTAACAGCCACATACAGAAAAATGTACAAAGGGCTTGGCCCCTCACTAGAGGTGAGGTTCGTGTCTCATTAGTTTAGTTAAGCTCTCCGTAGGGTTCAATTTATTTGGTTTGCAGCTCATTCCTTAAAACAGAAGACTCAGATTGTTGCTAATAAGTAGAAATGGTCTATTTCAAGCTCGTTCTGCACATAAGTGATTGGGCTTTTTTAACATCAACTAAGATTTATATGGAACATTTTCTCAACTTTAATTGACTGAATGTATTTGAAAATGTATGAACACGTGAAATATATTTTTAGATGTATTTAAGATGTTATATAAAAAGCACCAGTTTGATGAGTGGGCCATATTCCATTTTACTTTTAGAATTTTCTAGCAGATCTCACCTTCATCTTGTTCTTGAAGGTGTAGGAGTCGCTGCTCACACCGGAGTCTCTCTTCAGTTTACACAGCACGATGCACTCTTTAAAGAGGAACACTTGTCTCTGGTGTCCTCTGGAGGCGGCCTTCACCTCTGGAGACTCCTCCCACACCGTGAACACGCCCTGAAGAGAAACCATACAGGGTTTTATCGGGGTGCAAATTGAAGGTTTTTATATAAATGGATCAGGACAAAAAGTGAGCGAATCTTTTTGCCTGAAACTTTCAGAATCTCTTTACGCAGAGGGGACACATGTTGATGTAGAAGAGACATGAAAAATGGATTTTGCATAATAGGTGACATTTAAATGGAAAAAAGCCTCATAACCCCAAGTTAGTTCAGGATGTTTGTGTTCCTCCAGAGGCTAACCTAATATTAATACATGTCAGCTTGTGGTCACCTGTCTGACGGGCTCCCCCAGAGCGATGAGAGGAGCCGGGTAGTTCTGGATCAGAGAGACCTGCTGCAGGTTGTCTGACCTCCAGGGCAGAGAGGACACCAGAGAGAAGGAGTCCTCCAGCAGGCAGCAGCTCTGACCACTGCGAGCCTTGTTCTTTATAAACTCCTGCAAATAGCACATAACAGGCATTCAGCGGACACACTCTAAAGAAGAGACTACAAGTCGTGCAACATATATTATAAATATCCATTTTGCAAATACTCAAAGTCCTCTATAATAGTCCTTTTTGACTCAGAGTTGCAAGATGGAATTATATATTTGACTATAACTCTGACATTAATGATCAAGGTTTGACACATGTAATAGTGAAAGATAAAAGGTGTGCAGACCTTGAGGAGAGCCTGGTACGTCTGGAGCCTCTCCACTGGTCTCTGGAGGAACGTGAGGACATCCATCACAGGAGCATCAGATTTACCAGATTCTGGCAACTCCTGCAATGTAAGGAGTGACTTATTAAATAAATACTTTACCCCCTCAAAAATGATCAGTAACTTACAGCATGGTCCCTTTTAATTCTTGAAGAAAATTTAGTTTTTTATGCATAAAATAAATAAAACTGCAAAAAGTCATGATGATATCAATAATACAATAATACAAACGTTGTAACCCAACAGCATTGTAATCTAACGTATTTTTCACTAAAACTTTTCACTTACTCCATTTTTTGGAATATGAGGAAATGACCTGCGGTGTGTCTCTCAGCATACACGCGGTTTGATTGGCTAGCGCTTGTACTGGTAGATTTGCATAAACGGGATTTGATTGGCTGACGCTTTCACCGAAGCTTCAGAAGCTTCAAAAGTTGAACATTTCTCAACTTTTGCAGTGAGCCACGCCAGCAAAGCTCCGCTCCGCTTCGCTTCCCACAATGCAGTTCGGCGAAAACTGACGTCACCCCATTCAAGTGAAAGGTGAAGCTTTCAACGCACGCCGCTGTGTGGACGGGCCGTTAAACCTTACCTTTGTCTCTATTATTTAAAACTCTATCACATAAGAGTCTTACACTAGTGCAGGTGCTTTACTTGTCTGTCTGAGTCTTCGGTTTTTAAATAGTAAAGTTTAAGTGAAAATGTATATGTTTGATGTATTACTACTGTTGTTACTGTAACCCAAATGTACAACAATTCATTGAAAATGTCATCAGTTTTTTATGTGAGAAAAACAAATGTTCTTTAAGAAATTAAGGTAACATTGGGCGAAGCATTCCTTTAAGAAACAAAAAATAAACACTGTAACAATGTAGCTATTCAAGCACATTCATTCCCACAGTGTTCATGTTTTACTGTATGTCTCAATAGAAACAGGTTTCGTGAATACCTTAAAGTACTGTTGGACGGTCTTGTCAGAGACGCAGGCCTCAGCTTGAGTCTGTCCCGTCAGATAGTGCAGATACTTCTCAAAGTCTGCAGCGTTCTTCAGGAGAAGCATCGCCACGTCGTCGTCTGTGGAACAGTCTCTGAGCCGGGGGAGGATCGACCTGAGCAGACATCAGATCATGAGTTATAACGTAAATACACTGGACTCAGTTTGACTGTGGAGAGGACACAGTGCAAAGAGACATTGGAAAACATCATACACACAGCTGGAAACAAACTACTTACGTTCATGCAGTGTGGAAAATAATGGCACGAGAGCAAAGTGATGTGTATAGGATTATAGAGTTTTTATACTTTAAAACGTTATATCAATTGATTGCATTGATGCACTGTAAACACAAAGGCAAACCTTAGACAAAAGGGAAAACGACCATTTTTCTTGGAAAGATTTTAGTATTTCTAAATTCTCAGTGAACATAAGAATAACAAGTACAAGTAAGTAAGTATAATTCATGCAGTTTGCCTGTTAAATACATACATTTTATCAGAAACTTTCCAATAAAAAAACAAATTGTACACAAACTGAAATGTAAAAATGGTATCTTGTGTGATATGCACAGTAATGACTGACACAACATTGACTTGGTGTGTATTTGTAGCAATAGCTAGCTTGTTTTGCAGGGGAAAAAACAATTTTTAATTATTCTTCAAAGTTAGAAATTCAATCAAAATCTAAGAAGGTAGGAATCTCAATTTACTCAATCGATTTTTCCACAGAACCTGATTATGTATGTATTATTTATTTATTTGGATGTTGTCTAGATGCATTAAAATGAGCATTGTGTTAAAAGGTTGTGTGTGAGTGTGAGTGTGAATGTGCGTGTGCGTGTGCGTGTGCGTGTGCGTGTGCGTGTGCGTGTGTGTGTGTGTGTGTGTGTGTGTGTGTGTGTGTGTGTGCGTGTTTGTGTGTGTGTTACCTCTCGTGCAGAGACACGATGTCCCTGATGTTCCTGAAGATGATCTCTTTCTGGTTCAGGATGTTGACAGGGACGTGTCGGCTGGACTCCAGATACTGAAGCTGGTGAGAAGTGAACATCTTCATCTCCTTCACAAACTCCTCCTCTCCGTCAATCAGGCCCTGGATCAGTTGGCTGGAGATTAAAGGAAGTGAATGCAGATCAGACGTGATGCAGCTGTGTTTGTTTTTACATCTGAGATTAGTTATTTGGAAAAATATGTCCATCATCACAAAAGTTATCAAGATAACTTATATACAGTTATATACTGTATAACCTGACAGTATATATTAAAGGGGACCTATCATGCAAAATGCACTTTTGTACGTCTTTTCTACATGAATATGTGTCCCCGGTGTTCCAGGGAACTCACCAAGTGTCAGAAAACACAACCCTCTCTATTTTCCTCCATACCCAAATCTCTAAAAAAGGGGCTGCAACGGATCTGATAAAAACTGATCCAGATTTGAACACTGTCCTGACGTCAGGACGGTGGCGCTACGGCTATTGGGCCAACTCCACCAATCAGGAGGAGACAGCCACGGCCATTGCCGTTCGAAAGCGCTGGAGACGCTGTAGTACATATGCCAGGCCTGTAGATGGTGCTGTTCTCACTGAATCAGCCCTTGCAAAAACAGAGCTAAAAAAGTGCAAATTGAACAAAATGAGGCATGGCTAAAATGCATGATTTGTTTGGTATTTTGAAAAAAAAAAAGTATAAATATGCCTTATATAGGTATGGTCCTACACTATATTATTAAAATATAGCATGATAGGTCCACTTTAAGTAATTCACTACATGTGAGGAGGGGAAAGTGTATAGATATCATTATGAATCTTCCCCTGTTCATTACTTATATTAAGGGAATTGTTTTATTTTTTCAATTTTCTGATATTTTATGTTTATATATATTAAAATTAGGTATTATTTAATGCTAATTTTGGGTGAATTTAGGAGAAAACTGCATTTGCAAATAGACGTTAATGTAACAAATACCTGAATATGGATTTTAGATATTTTATTTCCAGTAGTCTGAAAGAAGACATGTTATGGAGGCAAAATATTGCATAATCTTAGAATTGACCAGTGCATTTTGCAATAGTGTCCCTCTGTAACATGTCAGTATATAATATGTAATATAATATAATATGTAACTGCAGAATGACGAACCTCAGAGCTCTCCTGTACTCTTCTCCTGTCGACCCGATGCCATCGAGATCCTCCTGAGGGGCTCTCAGCTGAGGGAAGGTCTCCTGTTAAAACACCATCATTTATTAAACAATAAAAGGCCTTTTCATTTATTATTACTTGATGAAATGAATGTCTCCACTAACAGCAGAACATTGCAGCCCAGCTTTAGTATTGCTAAGTTAAACATCTAAGTATTTCTTTCACATCCATAAACAGAATGATCAGGTACATAGTATTGGAGTAAATGTACATATCCTACCTTCCTCTTCTTCTCCAGGTAGGCGGGGCACACCCACCCCTGTCGGGCGGGGGTGGTTTTGGTGGGTTTGGTCCGCACCAGCCAGCGGTCGGGATGAACAGAGTCCAGAACCTCCACAAACTGACCCTCCTTCAGAACAAAACTCTCCTTATTCCCAAAGTCTGGACTGCAGTCAGCTCGAGCCACGTACATTTCAAAAGTCTGAGAGGGAAGAAACAAACATGTTACAACATTTCAAATCTTATACAATCCTATGGGCAATGTTACTTTTTCTAAATGTTTTACTACTACTACTACTACTACTACTATACGAACTACGACGACGACGACGACGAGACGACGGAAGACGACTGGACGACGACGACGCGAGACGACGACGGACGACCACGACGACGACGACGAGACGAGACGAGACGACGACCACGACGACGACGACGAGACGACGACGACACGACGAGACGACGACGACGACGAGACGAGACGACGACGACCACGACGACGAGACCAGACGACGACGACGACGACGACGAGACGAGACCACGACCACGACACACACGACACGACGACGAGAGACGACGACGACGACGACGACCACGACGACGACCACGACGACACACGACTAAGACGATACCACGACCACGACTGACGGACGACCACTACGACGACGACGATATACGACGATACTACTACTATACTACTACCACTACTACTACTACTACTACTACTACTACTACTATACTACTACTACTACTACTACTTACTACTATACTACTACCACTACTACTACTACCACTACTACTACTACTATACTACTACTTACTACTACCACTATTACTACTACTATACTACTTACTACTACTACTACTGCTACTGTCGAGACGAAAGTCAGTATGAAAAGAAAAATAATAATATCTGAGAAAAACGGACGGATAAATAATTATTTGTATGTATTTTCGTTTACAGTAGGTTATTATTGTGATAGTATTGTTCATTACCAAGGGGGTATTCGTTTTATTTTGAATAGCGTAGTCTTCTTTTCTTAAATGATAAGCGAGCTGTTATTAAAAAATATTAATGCCGCTTCCGGTAACACGGCAACAAAAGGGGCAGGAATTATGATGGCCGCTCTTTGTTCCCAAAGCCACGGAGGGAGAAGTTGGCGACAGTGTGTGTGAGGCTCCAGAGACGCCGTTGGTATGTTTCTCCGCTGTTTATTACGTTTTGCGTTCTTGATCTGTTGCCTTATTGTGTGAGAGTGCTGTTGCGCAATCAACGGCTTTTACGCAGCGTGGTTTGTGTGCGCTCCGTTTTGTTTAGTGTATATTTTTAGACAGCGCAGATGGTGTTCAGTGAGGTTTTCTGGGTTGCTTGGTTTCAAGTAGAGAAAGAGACTTTCTTATTATTTCATTTTAAGTTAATGATGTTTTGTAGAATAACTCACAATTTATCATTTGAATTATAATACCCTGAAAATAGAATGTGACTGAATTATTATTATTAGAAATGATGCAATGAGGCATACAAAATGTTTGTGATTTTGTTTGCATGTGTGCTAACATTTGTTTGTCCTCTGTGTTTGAAGGTTTTCAACCTGATGAGATTCTGATGAAAAGTGTCATATAAAAATAACTGCTGAGCAGAAAATAAAGACAAAAGGAAAGAATCCGAATTGTCCAAGCGTCCTCTGTTGCCCTCCAGCCTCTCAAGTTTGGGCATAACACTGAAAACAGGCCAAAACCCAGAAGAACTTCACAGCTACTACTACTACTACTCCTACTACTACTACTACTACTACTACTACTACTACTACTACTACTTACAGTACTACTACTACTACTATTACTACTACTTACTACTACAACGTACTACTACTACTGCATTACTAATTATATCTTGATGCTAGTAGTTCTGTACTTTTACTTAAAGTGGACCTATCATGCTATATTTGAATAATATAGTGTAGGACCATACCTATATAAGGCATATTTATACTTTATTTTTTTCAAAATACCAAACAGATCATGCATTTTAGCCATGCCTCATTTCGCTCAATTTGACATTTCTTTGCTCTGTTTTTGCAAGGGCTGATTCTGTGAGAACAGCACCATCTACAGGCCTATGTACTACAGCGTCTCCAGCGCTTTCGAACGGCAATGGCCGTGGCTGTCTCCTCCTGATTGGTGGAGTTGGCCCAATAGCCGTAGCGCCACTGTCCTGACGTCAGGACAGTGTTCAAATCTGGATCAGTTTTTATCAGATCCGTTGCAGCCCCTTTTTTAGAGATTTGGGTATGGAGGAAAATAGCGAGGGTTGTGTTTTCTGACACTTGGTGAGTTCCCTGGAACACCGGGGACACATATTCATGTATAAAAGACGTACAAAAGTGCATTTTGCATGATAGGTCCCCTTTAAATAAAAGGTCAGGGTTCTTTATGCAAATCTGCTGCTGCTAATACTACTAAATAGAGCACATACATGAAAAATAGAAAATACAAAAAATAGAAAATGTCACGTTTCTGCAGTTGTTAATGCTACTGCTGACACAGAACACACATGCAAAATGTAAAATATGAAAGTACCTCTCGTCTGTCCTCCTCCCCCTCTGACTCTGATCCAGAGACGGTGCTGGTGAGAGGTGTGTGAGTGCGGTGGTGTTTGGGAGACGGTGCCCTCATCTTACTTTCATGACCACCTATAAATTAGAGAGGTACGACACTATGACACGCCTGATATGAAATATGCTGGTGAGGTTATAAACAATTAAAAACTAGTTAGGTTAAAATGCATGTATTTATAGACTTCTTAAGAAACTGCTTTCAAATTAAACATTTCAGATTGAACGTTTTTTCCCAGGCTCTCAACTTAAACTGAGAATTTCCAGATAAGTTAAATGCAATTCTATATAAACTATAATGCGTGTAAACCCGTTTTTGAATTATATGATCTTTAGTTAAATGTACTAAACCTTTCTACTCTATGTTTTAGTAAGAAAACAAAGACTGAAAAAAGTTTGAAAGTTAGAAAATACAGACAACTTTACCGACCTTTGAACTTCTGTCGAGTCTTAGGAAGTGGTGTAGGAGCCATCGGTTCTTTATCATCTTTTGGAGATGCTTGATCGACTGCTTTTGTCACTTCTCTGAAACAGTATTCATAAATTGTTTGTCTATCTTCAATAGCACAATGCAAAGGATTAGCATTACAATTTAGATAACAAAACTAATCTTTCTGATCTCTGACCTTGGCACATCTGGACCAGAATCAACAGGTTCCAACATATCCGGAGCCGTGTCATAATCCGAAGGACTGGACACTGATTGAGGTAGAAACTCATGTTAATAAAATCCAAACATATGGCTTAATAGTTCCTCATTTGTTGTGATTACAGACGTGTTACTCACTGGAGCTGGCAGCAATAAGCGAGGATCCTCTCCTCTCCTGTAGTCTCCTCTGAGAGTCCTGCTCCGTCAGATTATAGGACTCCCACAGAGAGACATTCTCATTTTCTACATAGTTTTCAGCATCTATACCTGATGACGGTACCTCGGTTTGAGTCTGAGGAAGATCCTGAGTCTGAGTATGAGGAAGAACCTGAGTCTGAGTCTGAGGAAGATCCTGAGTCTGAGTCTGAGGAAGATCCTGAGTCTGAGGAAGATCCTGAGTCTGAGGAAGATCCTGAGTCTGAGTCTGAGGAAGAACCTGAGTCTGAGTCTGAGGAAGATCCTGAGTCTGTGTTTCTGCCTCAGGCTTCGGCAGTGCGACTTGCAGAGGAGTTATGGCGGCAAGCGGAGGGTGAACAAGTTTCTGGTTCATCGGAGCAGGTTTCTGAGGCGGCACTACTGTTAGGTTTCCATTGTATGAGGTCATACCAAACTTATTCACCACCTCGCATGTGTAGATCCCACTGTCAATCAGAGTCAGGTTCTTGATCACAAGAGTACAAACACCATCCTCTGTGGTCTCAACACGGCATCGCTGATCATTAATTATTTGTTGTCCGTTTCTCAGCCAGCGCGCCATGCTTGTTTTTCCTTCGGCAACGCACACCAGCGTGACTGTATCATGAAGATCTGCACTCTGGTTCTTAAACACCTCTTTGAAGACGGGTCGCATGTCTCTGCGGGTTTTGAAGCCCTTAAAGGCTGCCTGGATCTTGACGGCAGCCTCTTGCATTTGGGGTTCATCCTCAACACTGATGTCCATTTCTTGGGAATCTTCATTTGGTGGCTGTTCTTTCTGGCGTACCGTTATTGGAGGAAGAGTAGCAGGTTGGGTTGACCCATCAACAAAAGAGATTTGTTGATGGGTCACACAAATGCTGTGGTTCGATGGTATCTCGGTCAAAGCCTCCGAGAACGTTTCATCTTCAGATATGTAGAGGAGAGGAATTCCTTCTGAAACGTTTGTCGTTTGTTGATCCTCTTGCCTTCTTATCGGCTCGACTGCCATTTTAATTTCCTGGTCCAGTTCGGGTTCCTTTCTCATTGGTTTTACTGGTTGTTTAATCGGTTGCTTGGCGTTTGCATCCTTCTCCGCATCCTTCACCGGTTGCTTAAGCTTCTCAACAATCTCAGTGTCTGTAGCTGAAGATAGTTTCCTCCCCAATCTTGGTTTCTCTTCAACCTCTTTTTTCCAAGACTGTTTCATTGGCCGATCATCATCTGTTGTTTTCACCACAACTCTTGGCATCGTACGCTCGTCTTGATCCGTCTCCGTGTCCCTTGATGATTGCTTTTCCATTCCCCCCTTTGATTTGCTTTTAATCCTTGCGGGTGGTTTTGGAGGGGCTTCTTTTTCTAAAGTCTTTACTGGTTGTGCTAATGATTGTTTCTCCAGCTGATCTACAGAAGGCACTAGTTTAAGTGCATTTCTCTCTTGCTCTGCCTCTGTGGACACTTGTTTCAAATCTCTTTGTTTTTGGTCGTCCTCAGAGTCATTTACAGTAGGTTTAACTGATTGGACAATGCTCTCCTTTGTATCATATCCAAGTGGTTCCTTTCCTACTGGTACCTTCGCTTTAGATCTAACTGGTGGTTTGAACTGTTCACCTTCTTCTACTTTGATCTTCTGTCCTGTAGACTTCTCTTCTAGCACGTTAAGTGTTTCATCCCCAATAGACTTCTCCATAGGTTTCACAGGCTGTTTTTGATCCTCAATGTTCTTCCACAGGACTTTTTCTGGATGGCTTACCTTCCTCTCAACTTCACTTGTTTTCTCCAAAGGCTTTCCTGCTTGTTTTAAGCTCTGTTCAACTTCATTTTCCTTTTCCTTTTGGTCAAATACAGTGTCTCCTAGAACCGTGTCTGACTGAGTCACATTGTGTTCAACCTTAACTAATTTCTCTGAACTCGTTCCTGGTTGTCTCTTCTCCACGAATACACTCTTCTCCGTCTCCAAAGGCATTGCTGGTTCTTCCGCCTCCCTGTCAACCCCACCATCCTTCTCCGGTTGTCTCATTGCCTCGTTGACCTTCTTGTACACTTCATTGTCTTTCTCAAGTTGTGTTACATTCTGTGTTGCACCAACAACTTTTTCCAATAATCTCGCAGGTTGGACGCCCTGTTTAATGTCAAACATTGGCTCCACATCTTTGTCTAAACTTGTGATAGATGCTTTCCTAGCAGCTCTCTTTTTGGGCTCTGGAGGAACAGGTTTGGCTTCTGGGAGTCCAGGCTTCTGGTTGTCTGGAGGAGAAGTTGGTTTGGCAACAGTGCCCTTAGCCCGGGGAAGGACAGTGGGAGGCTCTACTTTTGATGGAGTTGGTTCTGGAGCTAGACAAGAGATTGCAAAACATAATTGGTTGGCAACTTGTTAGTATGTGGCGGTGGTTTGAGAGAGAAATAAAGGGTGTAAAGGTGTATACGGTATGGACTGAAGCGCAACAAGCGTTCTTTGTAAAACTGAATACAGACATTGTTCATAACATTGTTCACAACATTTAGAAGACAACCCCAATATTTTTTTCTTAAAGACAATATGCCAGTATCTGAATGCCTTAACTTACGAAATAACCGTAACCCCCAAAACTGAGGTACATAAACACAGAACCATTCTTTTTTTTTTGTAGTTGCACCCTTACTAATTAAGTATTAAGACGCACTCACCTTTCACTGTCACAGACGCAGTGGTTTCTGCACTTCCTGCTTGACATGAGTAGCTGCCGCTGTCTTCAGGTTTGAGATCCTGGATGTGCAGCTGCAGGAGGCAGCCATCTTGTTTAATCTGGTACTTCCTGTTAGCTCTTAATGGCAGCCTGTTCTTCTTCCATTGCACTAACACTCCAGGTTTAGACAGCTCACAACACAGAGAGGCTGATCCTCCCTCCTCAACCTCTGTGCTTTGCAATTCTTCTTGGAAGAATGGTGGGAGTTCTGGAAAAATAGGTAAGGATTGGAAAAAACTTTAATATAATTGAAAACTGCTCAAAGGAAAGGGGACCAAGTTTTCTTTGTACATACTGTACAATGGATGGATGCGACTGTAACACTAGCAGCTCACCAGAAAGTCTAGATTCTTAAAAAGTACTTTTAGTTTTGGTATTTTATTGAATGCATGCATGATACAGAATGTCTTATTGCCAATTGTACAAACCTGTCACTGTCACAGTAGCAGAGGTCTCTGCACTTCCTGCTTCACATGAGTAGCTGCCGCTGTCTTCAGGTTTCAGATCCTTGATGTGCAGCTGCAGGAGGCAGCCATCTTGTTTCATCTCGTACTTCCTGTTAGCTCTCAGTGGCAGCCTGTTCTTCTTCCATTGCACTGACACTCCAGGTTTAGACAGCTCACAACACAGAGAGGCTGATCCTCCCTCCTCAGCCTCTGTGCTTTGCAACTCTTCTTGGAAGAATGGTGGGAGTTCTGGAAGAATAGGTAAGGATTGGAAACACTTTAGTGTAATGGGAAAATGCTCAAATGAAAGGGGAGCAAGTTTTCTTTGTACATACAGTAGAATGGATGGTTGCGACTTTAACACAAGCAGCTCACTTGAAAGTCTACTGTAGATGCTACAAAAGTACTTCTAGTTTTGGTATTTTATTGAATGCATGCATGATACAGAATGTATGTTTGCCAATTGCACACACCTTTCACTGTCACTGTTGCTGTGGTCTCTGAACTTCCTGTTTGACACGAGTAGCTGCCGCTGTCTTCAGGTTTGACATCCTTGATGTTCAGCTGAAGGAGGCAGCCATCTTGTTTCATCTCATACTTCCTGTTAGCTCTCAGTGGCAGCCTGTTCTTCTTCCATTGGACTGACACTCCAAGTTTGGAAAGCTCACAACAAAGTATAGCTGTACCTTCCTCCTCAGCTTCAACACTTTCTAAGTCTTTCTCAAAGAATGGTGGGAGATCTGGGAAAATCCGCCAGAAAAAACAGAATGGTAAATGTGATTGGAACCAGGTAATCTAAAGAAGTACAGGAAAACTTTATGCATAAAATGCATGAAGTTTAAAGCTAAAATGTTCTAATAAAGTATGAATTATCCAAATGCACACACCTGTCACTGTCACAGTTGCAGTGGTCTCTGCACTTCCTGCTTCACATGAGTAGCTGCCGCTGTCTTCAGGTTTGAGATCCTGGATGTGCAGCTGCAGGAGGCAGCCATCTTGTTTCATCTGGTACTTCCTGTTAGCTCTCAGTGGCAGCCTGTTCTTCTTCCATTGCACTGACACTCCAGGTTTAGACAGCTCACAACAGAGAGAGGCTGATCCTCCCTCCTCAGCCTCTGTGCTTTGCAATTCTTCTTGGAAAAATGGTGGAAGCTCTGGAAAAACAGGTAAAGATTAGAAAAAAAGTTAGTGTAATGGGAAAATGCTAAAATGAAAGGGGACCAAGTTGTCTTTGTACATACAATACAATGGATGGTTGTGATTGTAACACTAGCAGCTCACCAGAAACTCTAGAGGCTTAAAAAGTACTTTTAGTTTTGGTATTTTATTGAATGCATGCATGATACAGAATGTCTTATTGCCAATTGTACAAACCTTTCACTGTCACAGTAGCAGTGGTCTCTGCACTTCCTGTTTGACATGAGTAGCTGCCGCTGTCTTCAGGTTTGAGATCCTTGATGTTCAGATGGAGGAGGCAGCCATCTTGTTTCATCTCGTACTTCCTGTTAGCTCTCAGTGGCAGCCTGTTCTTCTTCCATTGCACTGACACTCCAGGTTTAGACAGCTCACAACACAGAGAGGCTGATCCTCCCTCCTCAACCTCTGCACTTTCTAAGTCTTTCTCAAAGAATGGAGGGAGCTCTGGGAATATAGGCAAGAAAAAACTGAATGGTAAATGTGATTGGAACCAGGTAAACGCATTTAAATGCATAAAGTTTAAGTCTAAAATATTCTTTAAAAAAGTAAGAATTGTCAAGATGTACAAACCTTTCACTGTCACAGTTGCAGAGGTATCTGCACTTCCTGCTTCACATGAGTAGCTACCACTGTCTTCAGGTTTGAGATCCTTGATGTTCAGCTGCAGGAGGCAGCCATCTTGTTTCATCTCGTACTTCCTGTTAGCTCTCAGTGGCAGCCTGTTCTTCTTCCATTGCACTGCCACTCCAGGTTTAGACAGCTCACAACAGAGAGAGGCTGATCCTCCCTCCTCAACCTCCACACTTTGCAATTCTTCTTGGAAAAATGGTGGAAGCTCTGGAAAAAAGGGTTTGAAACGTTAGTTTAATGGGAACGTGAATGAAAACAAAATGTAAAGGGACCAAGTTGTCTTCGATCATACATACAGTATCAAAAGCTGTCTGAATACTTTAAATGTAGATGGATGGGACTGTTATGCCAGCAGCTCACCGGAAAGTTTAGACAATAATGAATACTTTAAGTTTTGGTATTTTATTGAATGCATGCATGACACAGAATTTCTTATTGCCAAATGCACAAACCTTTCACTGTCACAGTAGCAGAGGTCTCTGCACTTCCTGCTTCACACGAGTAGCTGCCGCTGTCTTCAGGTTTGACATCCTTGATGTTCAGCTGCAGGAGGCAGCCATCTTGTTTCATCTCGTACTTCCTGTTAGCTCTCAGTGGCAGCCTGTTCTTCTTCCATTGCACTGCCACTCCAGGTTTAGACAGCTCACAACAGAGAGAGGCTGATCCGCCCTCCTCAGCTTCAACACTTTCTAAGTCTTTCTCAAATAATGGAGGGAGCTCTGGGAAATCAGCAAGAAAAAACAGAATGGTAAATGTGATTGGAACCAGGTAATCTAAAGAAGTACAGGAAACCTTTACGCATAAAATGCATGAAGTTTAAAACTAAAATGTTCTAATAAAGTATGAATCATCCAAATGCACAAACCTTTCACTGTCACAGTAGCAGAGGTCTCTGCACTTCCTGCTTCACATGAGTAGCTGCCGCTGTCTTCAGGTTTGAGATCCTTGATGTGCAGCTGCAGGAGGCAGCCATCTTGTTTCATCTCGTACTTCCTGTTAGCTCTCAGTGGCAGCCTGTTCTTCTTCCATTGCACTGACACTCCAGGTTTAGACAGCTCACAACACAGTATAGCTGTACCTTCCTCCTCAACCTCCACACTTTCTAAGTCTTCCTTGAAGAATGGTAAAATCTCTGCAAAAACATTTGTATGGATTTGAAAAAAAAGCCTCAAGTGGAATACAAAAAATGCTTGAGAACTAACAAACATAAAACTTTACTCTGGTAATGAATATATTTTCAAAGCTTCCAACCAACTTTTAATGTAGATGGTGGAATTGCAATAATGGCAATATAACACATTCCTGAAACTTCAGACAATATTGAGAAAGTACCCCTTGTTCTGTTGTGCGGTTGCATGCATGCAGAGCAAACAATGGCAAACTGTAAACTGAATTCACCTTTCACTGTCACTGTTGCAGTGGTCTCTGCATTTTCTACTTGACACAAGTAGCTGCCGCTGTCTTCAGGTTTCAGATCCTTGATGTGCAGCTGGAGGAGGCAGCCATCTTGTTTCATCTCGTACTTCCTGTTAGCTCTCAGTGGCAGCCTGTTCTTCTTCCATTGCACTGACACTCCAGGTTTAGACAGCTCACAACACAGAGAGGCTGATCCTCCCTCCTCAACCTCCAAACTTTTTAAGTCTTCCTTAAAGAATGGAGGGAGATCTGGTATATCGGCAAGAAAAAACAGAAAGGTACAGTGATGTGAACCGGATTGATATGAGAGGTACGTTACTTAGTAAAATGCATGCAGTTTTAAGACAAAAATGCGCTAATAAAGTCAGAATTATCCAAATGCACACACCTTTTACTCTCACTGTCGCAGATGTCTCTGCACTTCCAGCTTGACATGAGTAGCTGCCACTGTCCTCAGGTGAAAGCTCTTTAATAAGGAGCTGAAGAAGGCAGCCATCTTGTTTTATTTCGTACTTTGTGCCGGCTCTCAGTGGCAGCCTGTTCTTCTTCCATTGCACTGACACTCCAGGTTTAGACAGCTCACAACACAGAGAGGCTGATCCTCCCTCCTCTGCTTTTATATTCTGTAAATCTTCTTTGAAAAATACTGGAACCTCTGTGAAAAATAGAAGAACATTTAGGGAGTAGCACAGTGGGATGTCTCACCAGGACAGAAATGACATTTAAGACATTATCAACTTAAAGGTGGGGTAGGTAAGTTTGAGAAACCGGCTCGAGATACACTTTTTGTTATATTCCATGGAATGCTCTTAACATCCCGATAGCAATGAATATCTTAAGTGCTTTGACAACAAATCCATAAAAAAATGTCTTCTGTGGAAGCCGTAGTACTGTAAAAAGCACGACCAATCATTTGAGCCGGCCCGGCTAAAATAACTGGATGGCCTACCTGCCTGTCAGCCTTCCATCTGTGCACAAACTTATCTCGTGCCCTCATTGGTCATGTGCCCGTTCGTGTGTGTTGGAGGAGGGGCTCTGTAAGGAAGTGGCAGATTTTCTCCGGTTGTGTATTTTCAAATTCTAGCGATCTCGAGCTGGTTTCTCAAACTTACCTACCCCACCTTTAAGAGCTTGATGATACATTAAAAAACTTTAAAATGTCCCAATGCACACACCTTTCACTGTCACAGTTGCAGTGGTCTCCGCACTTCCTGTTTGACATGAGTAGCTGCCACTGTCTTCAGTCGAAAGCTCTGTAATAAGGAGCTGAAGAAGGCAGCCATCTTGTTTTATTTCATACTTTGTGCCGGCTCTCAGTGGCAGCCTGTTCTTCTTCCATTGCACTGACACTCCAGGTTTAGACAGCTCACAACTCAGAGAGGCTGATCCTCCCTCCTCAGCTTTTATATTCTGAAGTTCTTCTTGGAAAAATGGTGGTAGCTCTGGGAAAGATATGAACAGACTAATGAAGTGAAATTGTACTTATTGTAATAAAATACAATTTGTGAGAATGCGTTTGCTCCATATTATAATGAATCATATATTTCCAAACATCCCCACCTTTCACTGTCACAGTTGCAGAGGTCTCTGCACTTCCTGCCTGACACGAGTAGCTGCCGCTGTCTTCAGGTTTGAGATCCTTGATGTTCAGCTGCAGGAGGCAGCCATCTTGTTTCATCTCGTACTTCCTGTTAGCTCTCAGTGGCAGCCTGTTCTTCTTCCATTGCACTGACACTCCAGGTTTAGACAGCTCACAACACAGAGAGGCTGATCCGCCCTCATCAGCTTCTGCACGCTTTAATTCTTTCTTGAAGAATGGAGGCAGCTCTAGAGAACAAAATTAAACAACAAGCATTTAAGTTTAACATCGTATCCATTGGGAAGTCATTTGGGAAAGTGGAAGGGTCTGTGTTCTGGCCTCACATGCCTTAGTACTAGGGCTGTGCGATTATGGCAAAAATCATAATCACGATTATTTTGGTCAATAATTGATATCACGATTATTAAATACGATTATTCATGACTTTGAAAACATCCATTTATTGAACTTTTAAATACAAATAATAATTTGAACAGTATCTTTTTAACTGTTGATTTCCCTGAGCGTATAATTCAACTGAAAAACCAATACAAAATAAATAAAATAAATGATACATTTATATCTACATTTAAATAAATAATATCAAAATAATAAATACCAATAAACAAGATCAACAAATATTTTGGAGCGCACTTCAACAAGCTACTAAACATATATAAATATGATAAATACAAATACATTTGATCACAACCTAGCAAAGCAAAATAATCGTTTTTTTCGATTATGTTGTTTTCGTAATTGTGGCAGGCCAAAATCGTAATTGCGATTAAAATACAATTAATTGCACAGCCCTACTTAGTACAAAAAATAAATGTGCACAAGACATCAGACCTTATGAGTTTACGTTTAACAAGTCTCAAATTATCCCTTTTAAAGTTAGAAATAAAATAAATAACAATGCAAGATAATAGTGCTGTGTCGTCCAAATCAAGTGTGTTCATTTATTTTGTCATGCACTGGCAACAAAAGGCAATCATTTCATTAATTCAGTCTGGGTGATTTCTGTCGGTGACTTCAATCGAATTCCCGAATGTTCACATGACCAGAGGAAGTATCATTACTCTCTACTGACTGAGATTCTGATAAAGTGACATAGATAGAAATAGAATTAGGAGGGATGAAACCCTCTAATGGTCACACATGCAGAGCACACAGCACACACAGTGACATGTGTTCTCTGCTTTTAACCCATCCTAGTACCAGGAGTCCAGTACTAGGAGAAGTGGGCAGCTATTGTACAGCGCCTGGGGAGCAATGGGAGTGAGGGGGGAAGGGGGGTGTCCGGTGCCTTGCTCAAGGGCACCACGGCAGGGCAGGAGGTGAACTGGGACCTCTCCAAGTAGCAGTCCACACTCCACATTTTAGGTCTGGTCGGGGACTTGAACCGGCGACCCTACAGCTCCCAGTCCAAGCCCTTACTGACTGAGCCACTGCCGGACTTGCCGCATTTGCAGTAATTATGTTGTGTGTTTAATTGTAAACATAGCGAACACAGAGGAATAAATAATTTCCAAATGCACTCACCTTTCACTGTCACAGTCACAGTGGTTTCTGCACTCCCTGCTTGACATGTGTAGCTGCCGCTGTCTTCAGGTTTGAGATCCTTGATGTGCAGCTGAAGGAGGCAGCCATCTTGCCTGATATCATACTTCCTGCTGCCTCTCAGTGGCAGCCTGTTCTTCATCCATTGAATCGGGACTCCAAGTTTGGACAGCTCACAGTACAGAGAGGCTGATCCTCCCTCCTCAGCCTCCACACTCTGTAATTCCTCTTGGAAGAAAGGAGGAAGCTCTGGAAAACAGTGGAGAAAGACACATTTGGTGTAATTTCAAAGTGTTGAGGCATTCAAGCAAATATGTTTTTTAATTTTTTACCATCTAAATGCAACATTTCTTGCATTTTCTACCTGTTACAGTGAGTTTGGCGCTGCTCTGGTCATCTCCTGTATCACAGCAGTAAGTGCCGGTATCCAGAGGATCCACATCACGGATTATCAGCAGGTTGATTTTTCCCTCCTTACGGATCTCGTATTTTTCTCCGTCTCTGAGCGGGATGTGGTTGCGCGTCCAGGTGAGCGGGGAGGTGAAATCAGAGATCATGCAGGACAGAGTGGCCGTCTCTCCTTCCATGATCACAACGTCTTTAGGCTTCTCCTCGAACAAAACTGAAATGAAAATGCCACTTTAGAAATTCTGGTTCGCAGGAAATTATTTTAGCTGAAATGACATCCTCCAGTGGTGGAATATAATAAAGGGAATTTATTCAGGTAAAGTAGAAGTAACATTAAAATATTCTTCAGTACAGTACTTCATTTATGCTACTACTATTACTACTTTATCTTTACTCCACTAGACTACACTTTGGAAGCTTATATTATACTAATCACTACAATCCTCTGAAAATGTAGTTACGTGTGTCACTCCAATTTTATGCAGGATTCTAATACTACACTGACTCAAGGACTCATGTATTTACTAATCAAAATAACTGGGTACTTCTTCCACCACGGGTAGACCACCAAAACAATATTGTGCAATTATCAGTTCTTATGTGCAATATATACTATTTTACCATTTCTATTACTGGCTGTTTACTTTTTTTGCACTACTTAAGACTGTAACAACACTGTTGTAAAATAAAATTGGGAAATATATTGTGCAATATATACTCTTTACTATTTAATAATGTGGCTGCTACTTACTTTAAAATGTTTCATTTACTTTTACAACTCTGCTACTTACTTTGTTATACCTCAGATGTGTACCTATGTGATTTATTTAAATTTTATAATGTGCTGGTCTCTTTAAATAATAGTCTACTATTTCATCTTTTGCTGTTCCAATATATATTTCTCCACTGCCCGAATCAATGATTTCTGTTCTTCTTTTTCCCTAAATGACCCCTCCATCTTCTCTCTTCACTTACCTGTTGCTTTGGGAACCACCAGCAGTCGTGCGGAGGTCTTCTCCTCCCCGATCACGAACGCCACAATGCCGGTCTCCTCGGGCGTAGTCATGGTGAGCACCAGGCGCTGCTGCCGGCCTCGAACCGTCATCTGGTTCATCTCGTTCCTCTGCAGGGGGCTTTGGCCCAGCCACCACACCCCCTCGCTCACATCGGCGTGGGTCAGCTCGCACTCGAATACGGCGTCCTCACCCGCCGTCACCGTGATGCCCTGCAGCTCCGAGACCACCCGCACGCGCTCTGAGGAGGAAGAGGGAGCTATATACAGCTGCACTTTAGAGGTGGAATGGGAAATGTTTACAACAATTAAGATGAGAAGGCCTTGTAGGTTAAATGAGTTAGTATAAAATATATATATGGGTATTAAGTGATTAGGTTAAAGAACCAGAACCAGCATTGCACATGAGTTAAAAGTAATTATTAATTAATACTAAGTGTTCAATATGTATGTTGCAGCTGGAGGAACTTGAATATAATCAAGGGATTAATAAAGTTTTCTTACATTATACACAATCAATTATTTGTTGATTATATTTGGTTTTATTAATGTTAATTTAAATATTCAATCAATCAATTAATCAATCTTTCCCAATATCACAAATGACACATTTGTCATCACTGGGCTTTACAGTCTGTTCAGAATACAGAAACCTTCTGTCCTTACACACAAACAAAAAAAATTATAATAAAAGTTATAAAATAAATGTAGTGGATTATAAAGAACGATATTTGCTACACTCTATTTTACATGTATTTAGTTAAATGTCTGCATTTTATTTGCACCATTGTGTCACTTGCACCTTTCTCTTGCAGTATTTTATTTGTTATCTCGTCTTGCACTATTGTTATTTCTTTTTATATCTTAAGTACATACATTTTACACTCTGGGACGTCAGAGTTTATTGTTTTTATTGCCAAACACTTTTGCGCAAATGACAGTAAAAGCCTTTGAATTTGTAGAGGAGTAAAAAGTACAATATTTGCATTGAAAACATTGTGTAGTCAAAGTACACAGTATTTAGTTCCTGAAATTGTACTTGAGTAAATGAACTGTCCAACTCTGAAAAGGATTCTCCACCTACCCCTGACGATGATCTTGGCGGAGGTCTTCTTTCCTCTGGAGATGCAGCAGTATTCTCCTGCGTCCTCCAGCAGCAGCTTCTTGATCTCCAGAGTGTGTGTGGGGCCGTTCTTCTTCACGATGTACCGCCCTTCTTCCTCCAGAACAACGTTATCTTTCTTCCAGGTGACGGGGACGTTGGCGCTGGAGACCTGGCAGGACAGCAGCACAGGTTTCCCCTCCATCACCGCCTGGCTCTCCAGCTCCTTCTCGAAGAAAACGGACGCTGCCGCTGGAGACGGGAGGAAAGTAGACGGGATGTAAGGGAAGTGAAATTGACATCTAAAATAAGAAAATTCTGATGTGATTATCATAGATGTTGTTCTCCTACCATGGAAGGGGCCCTACTATGCTCATGTTCAGGTTCATATTTGTATTTAGTGTCAACTGTTGGACATGTTTCCATGTTTTAATTTTCTTTCGCATTGAGCTAATGCAGTCACATTATGCCTGTTACAGCACTTAAAGGGGCCCTATTCTGCTCATTTTCAGGTTCATATTAGTATTTACTGTAGTGCCTCTACTGGGACATGTCTCCATGCTTTAATGTTCAAAAAGCTCTTTATTGTTCTCATACTGCCTGTGCTGCAGCACCTCTTTTTACCCTCTGTCTGAAACCAGAGCCCAGTCTGCTCTGATTGGTTAGCTGGCCACCTCTGTTGTGACAACCCAGTCTCACGGGATTTCGTGTTATAGTCACGAAATGTAATCTATTGATTCGTGTTCACCAACACGATTTCCCCCTTTTTGTCGTGTCACACAGAACGATTTTAAAAGCAATGTATTTCTATTGGTAGTATGTTTCGTGCCTGCACCACGTCTTTTTGTTCGGTCGGGTCTTGGAAGACCGGAAGCTGTGTGGTTCATAAAAACATTTTCTTACTCAATATCAAGCCACGATTATTGTTTTTATTTTAAATTGTATAATGTCTGACTTTTTTGCCACATGACCAGGTTAAAAGCACACGGCAAAACACCAGTGGGATTTTGGTGGGAGTATGACTATCCTGGACAAAGTTACAGGGGGGTTGCCAAATCCGGCAGCACCAACACCTGTTCTGCCAGATTTGGAAGCCCCTCTTTAGTGTTTCACCTGATGAGCTCAGAGTAAAATGCTTTTGTGTGCACGAATTAAAGGGGAACAGCAAACACCAGTGTGATTTTGGTGAGAGTATGACTATCTCACCAATAGTCAAGAACCCTGTTCTTTCAACTACTCGCTTCAACGGATTGCTAAAACAAAAGTTACATCATAATGCAAATTGACCATAAAACCATCCGATGCAGCTGAAGATAAGGTAAGTGTTAAGTGTAATAATTATATTGCAGTACCTCTGACGCTGACCTCGGCCGTGGTCTTCTGCTCCCCGAACACGCAGCTGTACTCCCCCACGTCCTCCGGCTGGACGTTTCTGATGTGCATCTCTGCGGTTTTCCCCCTCAGGGTCATCTGGTACCTGCCCCCCTGCTGGAGCTGATCCTCCGCCTTCCACCACTGCACCGGGACCCCCTCCCGCGACAGCTCGCAGCGCAGGGACACGTTTCCTCCCTCAGGGGCCTCCTGGTTCTTCAGACCCGTCTTAAAGGAGAGCGGGATAGCTGCGGGAGAACATCAGGTTTTATTGTAGTCTAACATAAGAGTCAAAACCCTGTTGAGGGCAGATTAAACAGCCATGTTTCTAAACCTGTTAAGCCCTGAGCCTGTTTTTCAAGTCTCAGGCTCGAAAATGACATGCCCAGAACAAATGACTATATCTTCACTTCTAAAAGGGGTAAATTAATAATCTTGTTTCTCAAAGCAATGATACACCTGTGAGTTGGATGTAGAAAAGTCAGATTGAACATTGTAAACAAATGTAAATTATAGTTTCCGTTCTAGAATCGAGAGGGAGTTCCTAAATCCATCTAAACATTACCATTGTGTGAATGAGAGTGGTGCGCAGCCAGCATGCCCAAAACCGGAAGCTGGGTTACAGCTCTCATACACTCTATATGAAAACTCCGTTTATTGACATAAATATGATGATGGATTATCAGTAATCATTTCAAAGTGACACAGAAACATTGGGCTAACCTTCAGCAGCGTTTATATGCGTTGTAATGCCCTTAAAAACAACTTTTGATCAGAAAACAGCAAAGGTCAGACGTATTTGCCGTTTTGGCTCCGTAAAGTGAAGCTGTGTGTTGTCTTTGCTGGCTTTCGCTGGTCGCACAGTGATGATACTTATACCATTGGCATCTGTAGAATCTCAGCTTTCATATGATGCTTGAGCACTCTTTTGCTTAGTGCTAATTCAGAGGCTTGGCGTTAGACTTGTGTTTTGTTTCGGTCAAATTGGTTCATATCGTCAGTTAGCTGAGTTAAGTGGTTATCACACATTCATAGTTTGTTAAATGTTAAGAAGCCCTCAGACGCTGTTTCTTGCAAGATGTTGCTTAACAGGTTAAGTGTCTCTTGAATTAAAGGTCTCCTATCATACTATTTTTAGGCATATATTATAGGTCTCATATATATTAAAAACATGTCTATGAAGTGTTTTGCTCAAAATACCAAACAGATTACCCATTCTAGCCATGCTAGCCCAACCCAGTCTCACGGCATTTCGTGTAATATTCACAAAATAAATGTAATCTATTGATTCGTGTTCACCAACACGATTTTTTTCGTGTCACACAGAACGATTTTAAAAGCAATGTATTTCTATTGGTAGTATGTTTCGTGCCTGCAGTGGCGACTGGTCATTAGGGGCAGGTGGGGCACAGCCCCACCTAGTGTCAGCAGAAAGTATTACACATAATGAAAACAAAAAATGCAAAAAGATGCAAAAAAAGAAATAAAAAAATATATAAAATATATTTTAAGATCATGTTTAATCATCTGATTTGTCTGTACATTGCTGTTTTAGTCTGTGTTCTTCTAATTAGTGTCTACAGTGCCGTTTTGAGCCATGTGGGACAAAACCTGATTCTGCCCCTCCCTCTCACTGTTTAAGTGAACGGTGACTGTAAAAACTACACTGCGCATGCTCAGAGTATTTTTCAATGGAATGTGTGTGGCAAAAAAAAAAGGCCAAAGGGGCACAGAGCTGCCATCCCCACCATACGTCAGCTCACATTATTCAGAACTGATTGGCTGTAAATATGTCACGTGTGCAGTGCTGCGAAACGTCACGTGTAGTGTGAAGAGAAGACGAGAGAGCAGCATATAGCTAACATCACCAGCGATTAAAAATAAGTAAAAAACGGAAAGAAAATGAATGAAGTTGACCATTTACTGGAGCACACATTTGAGACACTTAGTCTCGGAGAGAAACTGGAGGTAAAGCGCCTCGGTGCCCACCATCCACCGGATTTCCAAATGGTCCAGACTGCGGGCAAAGTGAACCGCGGGTTTAATGCTGAGTGGTTTGCTAAAAAGAAATGGCTAACGGCGAGCATCCAGAAGAATTCCCTCTTTTGCTTTCCTTGCCTGCTTTTTGGTGAAGATCAAGGTACTTGGTCGAGGACAGGTTACAAGGACTTAAAGCATCTTTCGGAGAGGACAATGAAGCATGAGAGCAGCAACAGTCACTTGGAAAATGCCGTAAAATTGGGATTACTGGGAAGGGTGAATGTTGCAGCTCAGATTGACAGCGCCTACAGACGCGGCATTGATGATCATAATAGAAAGGTGGAAGAAAACAGGTACGTGTTGGGGTCGGATCATCACCTGTATTAAACTGTGTGGGAAATGTGAGACAGCACTGCGGGGCCACGACGAGTCGGCGGACTCTCTGAATCCAGGGATATTCAGGTCAATTTTCGAGACAATGTGTGAGGGCGATTCCAGGCTTCGACGGCACTACGAAGCTCAGCCCGTTTTCAAAGGGACATCAAGCACCATACAGAATGAACTCTTGGACTGCATGTATGATGTGTACAGGGAGGAAATATCCAAGCAAGTGGACAACACATCATTTGTTGCCGTTCAGGCCGACGAGACAACCGATGTCTCATGTAAATCGCAAATGGTGATTGTGCTGCGATACATTATGCCTGACCTCACAGTTACAGAGCGTTTTTTGGAGTTTGTGGAAGTAAAGGACAAAACTGGTGTAGGTCTCTCTAACAGCATCAAGGCTGTTCTTGAACCCCTGAAGCTGAAAGAAAAGCTAATCGCTCAGACCTATGACGGGGCGGCCGTCATGAGCGGTAACGTGCGCGGGGTACAGACGGTCATGAAGGAGACGTACCCAAACGCTCAGTTTGTTCACTGCTACGCCCACCAACTGAACCTGACCCTGCAGCAACTGTGTTCAGCAAGGATGAGCATCCTGAAGGTGTTTTTTGCAGATCTAACTGCTTTTTCCACTTTTTTCTCCGGTGCTCCAAAACGTGTTGCAGCTCTTGCAGAGGCAACACAGAGACGCATACCACGGCCACCGGCTGTGAGATGGAACTTTAAAAGCAGAACTGTGAACGCGGTTTGGGAGACCCGAGAAGCACTTCTTCAGTGTATGGAGCATATACGCACACAACCAGGATGGGATGCGGTCACCATAAGTGAGGCATACGGCCTGTCAAAGAAACTGCGGGACCGAGCATTTATGCAGCTCCTGGAGTTTTTTTCGTTGCTTATGCCAGAAGTGGATGTTTTATACAACACTCTGCAAAAACGAAGCATCGATGCACCTGGGATCAACAGCGCGCTCTGCCGCTTCAAGGAAAATGTCCAGAAAATGAGGCAGCAAACTGATGCATTGGCCCCCACCACTCATGATGGAACAGACGAGCCAGGCCGACGAGTCAGCAGCACAGCGCCGGTAATGAAGGAGGCATGTGACACAGTCATCTCACAGGTGGAACAGAGGTTCTCACAGAGTGACCATTTGATCGCTGCAAAGCTCGTTGACAGCTCATTCTTCCCACAGCATGTCCTGTCATTTCCTACACCTGAGCTTGACTGCGCAGTGAAATTGTGGCCTGCTTTGGGAAACAAGGAGAAGTTGAAGTCTGAGCTGACCACGCTCTACCGCCACAGTGAACTTCACACTGGAAACACTGCCCTGTCTCTGTTGAAATCCATTCACGAGAACAACTTGGAGGATACGTTTGCTGAGACTGTTATTTTGGTCAAAATAATAGTAACAACTCCGATGACGACATCCGAGTCAGAGAGGAACTTTTCCACCCTCAAAAGGATAAAGACTTTCACTCGCAACACCATGGGACAGCTGCGACTTAACGCATTGGCCATGCTTTCAATTGAAAGCCAGTTGATCCAGCAACTACAGGACTTCATCCCCAAAGTGATAGAAACATTCTGTCAGAGGAAGGACCGCCGTGCCGCTTTTCTTTTCAAGTGAGCCTTCAGCTTTGGTAAGTTCATTTATGTCATATATTTTGTTGATCTTCTGTGTTTTGCCTCTGCTGGATCGATTGATATTGTGACCTCGGTGATGAGTGTCTGTGTTTTCCTTATATTTACAGTCTATGGTGTTTTAATGCTAAAGCATTATGGTGGTTGTTGTTGTTAAGAATTGCTTTGTGATGGTGCCCTTTACTTATGTATTAAGGTGCATTACAATATGACATCCCCACGCTGTGTACCATACATTTACGTACACAGTGTACGTAAATGTATGCGCTGACAGTGTTGCTCCGTGTGGTCTTCAGTATGTAATTTGACACTCCCCCTCTCCCCCCTCTCTCTCTCCCCCCTCTCTCTCTCTCTCTCTCTCCCCCCACCTCTCTCTCTCCCCCCCTCTCTCTCTCTCCTCCTCCCCCCCACCTCTCTCTGTCCCCCCCCCCTCTCTCTCTCCCCCTCTCTCTCTCTCTCTCTCTCCTCCCCCCTCTCTCTCTCCCCCCCCCCTCTCTCTCTCTCCCCCCACCCTCTCTCTCCTCTCCCCCCACCTCTCTCTGCCCCCCCAGTTTGTACACATAGAAAAGCCACTGCGTGCCTGCACCACGTATTTTTGTCCGGTCGGGTCTTGGAAGACCAGAAGCTGAACTTCAACAGTGGTCTCTTACGTGTGATGGTGACGTTGGCGCTGGTCTTGGTGTCTCCGTACGAGCAGCTGTAGAGGCCGCTGTCCTGCAGCTGGGAGTTTTTGATGGTCAGCTCCATGCTGCTGTTTCTGTTTTTGATCTGGTATTTGAAATCGTTCTTCAGAAGCTCCTGATCTTTCCTCCACTCCACAGTGAGGCCGGGTTTAGAAAGCTCACAGCTCAAAGTCACGCTGTTCTCCTCCTCCACCTGCTGGGCCCTCAGCTTCGTCTTGAAGGTGATGGGAGGAGCTGACGGAGGAGGAAAAGAGAAATGGTTACTGTTTTAAAAATGTTTGATTCATTAGTTTGACAAAACTGATTTGATTCAACCACATACTGACATTTTTTGCAGGTCTCTTAAAGGTAGGGTAGGTAAGTTTGAGAAACCGGCTCGAGATACACTTTTTGTTATATTCCATGGAATGCTCTTAACATCCCGATAGCAATGAATATCTGAAGTGCTTTGACAAAAAATCCATAAAAAATGTCCTCTGTGGAAGCCGTAGTACTGTAAAAAGCACGACCAATCATCTGAGCCGGCCCGGCTAAAATAACTGGATGGCCTACCTGCCTGTCAGCCTTCCATCTGTGCACAAACTTATCTCGTGCCCTCATTGGTCATGTGCGCGTTGGTGTGTGTTCGAGGAGGGGCTCTGTAAGGAAGTGGCAGATTTTTTCCGGCTGTGTATTTTCAAATTCTAGAGCACTCGAGCTGGTTTCTCCAAAATGACCTACCCCACCTTTAATTTCTAAGATTTCAAATAAAACATTTAATTTACCTTTTTTGTAAGTTATTTTTAATGCTATGTAAAACAGCAAGGAAGGGGAACAGAGAATAGTGTTTAACATGCATAGATGGATTAGTGAAAGAGCACAAAAGAATGACCACAGACATAACAACCACTGAATGACCAAGAACAAAGTGACAAAAAATAACAAAAATAAGAGTCACAAAAGTTAAAAGTGCCTCAAAACAAATGTAAAACAACCATAAGGGACAGAGAACGAACACAAAATGAATGACTATTTACCAAAGAACAAACTAAATGGCGACTAAAATGACAAAGATATGCATTCCTACGTCGACAAAAACAACATCATAGAGACATAGAAAGTCTAAAATTGAAGCAAAAACGACTAAAAGGAGAAGCAAATATCCACAAACATTCACAAAATGACTGTACATTAGTTTAATCCCATTTATATCAAATAGGGAATGATATCTATGAAACGTTTGGATATCATGTTTTCAGGGTGTTCATTACTTTACCTCTGACGGTGAGCTCAGCGGTGGATTGGCTGTCTTTGGTCTTGCAGGTGTATTTCCCAGCATCGCTCTCCTCCATGTTGTTGATGATTAGTTTAGTGAGACGTCCCTCCTGCTTCATCTCGTATTTATATCCAGGTTTGAGGACGACTCTTCCCTTCCTCCAGTCCACCGGAGCTCCAGGTTTGGAGATCTGGCAGCAGAACGCCCCGCTGTCCCCCTCCTTCACCTCCACATCCTCCAGCTCTTCTTTAAAGGTGACAGGGATTTCTGAGGAAGCAAAAAGAAAGAAATTAAAGCAAATCTGAAAATAAGTCTGCAGGAATCTGATGGGCCGCTCTGCAGCAGAGCACAGGAGGAATATCACAACTGGATATATGTGATTGTGAATACATCTACCCTACAAAAAGTACTGAAAGTGTGGTACAACATACCTCTGACTTTGATGTCGGCGGAGGTCACAGCAGTGCCCACAGAGCAGCTGTACTCTCCCAGATCTGTGAGTTTTAGGTTTCTGATCTGCATCTCAGCGATCCGGCCTTCCTGCTTCATCAGATACTTCTCCCCCTCCTTCAGCAGCTGAGCGTCTCTCCTCCACTCCACAGGGACGCCGGCTTTAGAAAGCTCGCAGCGCAGCGTCACAGCGCCCTCCTCAACCGCCTCCTGGTTCTTCAACTTCTGCTTGAAAGTCACCGGGATGGCTGTGGAGGGAACGGAGAATACTGTTAAACATGCATGGATGGATTACTGAAAGGGTCTAAAGGAGTCATGGGGTCTGACTTACACAATGTCAGTAAAATAAACATAGTGGGATAGTGGTGGTCTAATGGATAGTGAGGTGGGCTGAAGATTGTGAGTTCAAATCCCGCCAGGAACACCACCACTAGTGTGCCCTTGCACTTAGTCCTTAGTTACTCCAGGGAGAATGTCCCTGTAATTGGTAATTGTAAGTCGCTTTGGATAAAAGCGTCAGCTAAATGTAATGTAATGTAATGTAAACACAAAATGTGTTGTAAACAACTACAAGGAGAAACCAATAACCACAAACATTCTGAAATTGACTTAAAATATGGGTATATTGAAAACATTTAAAAAACATTCATACCAACGACAGTCAATAGACTCAAAGCCTAAACAAAATACAAAAATGAAGTGCAATATCACTTAAAGGTGGGGTAGGTAATTTTGGAGAAACCAGCTCGAGTGCTCTAGAATTTGAAAATACACAGCCGGAAAAAATCTGCCACTTCCTTACAGAGCCCCTCCTCCAACACACACGAACGCGCACATGACCAATGAGGGCACGAGATAAGTTTGTGCACAGATGGAAGGCTGACAGGCAGGTAGGCCATCCAGTTATTTTAGCCGGGCCGGCTCAGATGATTGGTCGTGCTTTTTACAGTATTACGGCTTCCACAGATGACATTTTTTCATGGATTTTTTGTCAAAGCACTTCAGATATTCATTGCTATCGGGATGTTAAGAGCATTCCATGGAATATAACAAAAAGTGTATCTCGAGCCGGTTTCTCAAACTTACCTACCCCACCTTTAAGAATATGAAAAATGACCACAACCATACACAAAACAACCACAAAATTACTGAAAAGACACAACCATGAAAAATGAGAGTTGCAAAATGACTCAAATGGACATAAAACAAACCACCAAGACACAACAGGACCACAAAATGTCAATATAGAAACGAGATTCAAAATAAATACAATGACTACGAAGACATAACACATTTTTTTAAAACATGAAAAACTACTACAACTACAAAGAGTTAGAAAATGACTAAAAGTAGACTCTTTGAGACTCTGTGTTTTTGTGTGCTGTTCCTATAAAGACAGGATGGACAGTATCATAATCGATCCATGACAACATGCAGATTACAAAAACATAATATAAGTGTCCTGTCACATAGTGTGTAACTCACCGGTGATGATGACAGTAGCTGTGGTTCGGGCCTCTCCACACACACAGCTGTAGGAGCCGCTGTCCTCCGGCTGGCTCTTCCTGATGTGGAGCTCCAGGGTGGATCCGCTCTGCTTCATCAGGTGTTTCTCCCCCCCGGGGGTCAGCAGCGTGGCCCCCCTGCTCCACTGCACCTGAGAGACCTTAGAGACCTCGCAGCTGAGCGTCACTACGTTCCCCTCCTGGACCTGCACGTTCTTCAGATCCTGCAGGAACCTGACGGGCCGCTCTGCAGGAGGAACACCAAAATGATTTAGAAAAATATTATAGTTTAGGGCAGGGGTGTCAAACTCAATTTCATCGCGGGCCACATTAACATAATGGTTGCACTCAAAGGGCCGGTTGTAACTATATAAATAAATAATATATATAATGTATTATATTACATTATTGCCTCTGAATTATCGGATGGGGTAATAACTTCGTAATTAACTACGTCTGAAAGCAGAAGTCCAGGGCAAATAATTGCAAGTCTCTTCAGTGCGCATGTCACAAAACGAGATGCATTGTGGGACATGTAGTGTATGGGCAACGCGCCTCTGTAAAGTGGCATGTAACCATATAATAAACGTATTATATTCTTTGCAAGCTCTGGCGGGGCCACATGAAATGAAGTCGCGGGCCGGATTTGGCCCCCGGGCCTTGAGTTTGACACCCCTGGTTTAGGGGATTTTACTGCTTTCTAGTCTCAAGTGATAAGCCAAATTAAGAAAGCTGTATGGGGAATATACAAAGGTATATTTATTTGACACTTGTAGTTAGTTTTACCATAAATAACATGATCTTGGTGATGTATATATGATCAGAATCAGAATCAGAAACAGGTTTATTGCCAGGTAGGTTCGCACATACTAGGAATTTGACTTGATGTCATGGTGCATACATAAAATATATAAAACAAGAAATCTAATATAAAACACAAAATATTTTACACTGTAATAAAATGATGTTTATACTATTCATTTACCTTAAAATATGCCCCCTTATTTAAGAATTACAACATAAAAAACATGTATGTATTTTATATTTCCATTCTGTCACATTAGTACTTTTACTTCTGATGAGTACATTTAGCTGACAATACTTATTTGAAATAAGTAGCATTATTTCTGCTTTAGTTTAGGTGTATGGTTTCTTTGGAATAAACACAAAACAAAAACAAAATTAGCCAAATAAATAAGTAGAATAGAAAAGAAAAGATCAGTATATCGAGTGAGTGAATATCTAACAAATAACTATATTTGGGTGATATTACCTTTTCCATCTTGCAAAGTGAGGAGACAGAAATTATTAATCCAGGGTTATTTTCTGTTTAATTTCTTGTTTTTAATTCCTTTGTCTGTGGCAAGATGTCCTGTTCACCTGTAACCTTAAACACCTGATCAGTGTTAAAGGGGACCTATCATGCAAAGTGCACTTTCTGATGTCTTTTATACATAACTAGGTGTCCCCGGTGTGTCAGGGAACTCACGCAGCATCAGAAAATAAAACCCTCTCTTTTCCTCCGTACCCAAATCTCTAAAAACGGGGCTACAACGGAGCTGATCCAGATTTGCGTCCGATATGACGTAATATCTGAAATGTGGACCCACGGCACTATCAGAAAGTTGCTATCAGAAACAATGCCCGACTGTTTTGGACGTAATATGGTCGGTGTTTACATTAGCATCGCTAACACTCAGAGCTAACCTGTACTGGAGAGCATGTGTGTGAAGAAGCAGGAAATAAAAAGGAACTCACCTTGTGGTATAACCGGCAAGAGAGAAAGCCTTTGAGCTCCATACTGTTTCAGAGATAATCCTTGATAATCCATGATATGGCGTTTCATCACCGCAGTATTTAGTTTAGACGGTAGCTGCCGGGTCCCGCATGAGCTCAGACCCCTCCTTTTTTATTTTTTATCAATTCTTATTTTTTTAAAGCTTTATACCCAAAATCAGCACTTTTGAAACAGGAAGTGAAATAGAGGGATATGAGGCATGGCTAGAATGGGTGATCTGTTTGGTATTTTGAGCAAAACACTTCATAGACATGTTTTTTATATATTTTTGATATATCTGAGACCTATGCTATTGCTTAAAAATAGCATGATAGGTGACCTTTAACCTATAGTCTGGCACATACTACCCTCTTGTGGTCAAATACTGTAGTGTATAAGTATACATGAGGAAAACACCTTTGCATGAACAGGTTAAATGAATCCTACAGTAACATCAGATATTCTGTATCAATAATTTGTAGTTTTGTTTTGGCTACCTTGTGATTGACAAGTGGATAACAGAGCTCTCCATGTTTTCATCTTATCATTTAAAAAAGATAATTTTAGCATTTGAGACGACAAAAAATTACTTGTTTAGTGTTCGGGTGGTTCTTAGCTCCACCCTCTCGACTCACTTCTGGATATCAAAAAAACCCGATATGCTCGAGGCTTCAAAACCATTGTCCTCAAACAGATGTACTTTTGTCATGACAATTACTTCCACTTCTTATATTCAGTGTATAGAATGCTAATGTTTGACCTTTTTTTTATACTGTGTGTATTCATGAGCCCTGAAGCAAAACAATCCAGGTTATTGTATTGTTAGCAGTGCTCACCGTTCACAGAGATCCTAGCTGTGGTGCTCTGTTCTCCACATGAACAGATATAATCTCCAGCGTCGTCCAGAGTGATGTCACAGATCTTCATCTCCACCTGCAGCTCCTTCTTCTTCATCTGGTATTTGTCTCCGTTCCTCAGCAACTCCCCTCCTCTCCTCCACTCCACACAGGAGGCGGGTTTGTTGAGTTCACAGCGAAGAACCACAGAGTTCCCCTCCGTCTCCTCCTGACTCACCAACGGCATCTTAAAGCTCGGTGGTGAACCTGTTAACACAGCAAATATCAGACACACACTCACACAGTGGGCTACCATGCAAGGTGCTTTTGAATGAACATAATCAATATTACATGGAAGTGACATGATAGTGGTATGAGCAACACAGCAGGTGTGTTCACTAGACTATCTGTCATGCTCATAATGGATTTTTAAAGCTAACTATGAACCCTGGAATGGATAATATGATCCAATATTACATAAAAACATGTAATATCACTTTCATGAAAAAAACCGAATGATACAGTTTAGTTACAGAGCTGTTTGGGATGTATCATATTGCAAAATCTTGCCTAAACATCCCAATGTCTGTGTTTTCAATGAGCTCATGAGAGGTAATGTACAGTAAACAGATATGAAGGTACATGATGGAGCTCACACAACGCTAATGGGTCTATTTTATTATATTATTGTACGTTAGAGCTGACCTCTTTGACGTCTTTGCTCAGGTGATTCTGTTGAACACATTGGGGAAAATTCAATAAATTCATGTATTTATTAAACCCCAAATGCCCTTAGAGGAATTTGCTTTGCACATGAATATCAAAAACAACCATCCGTGATGCAAATAACAACAATAGCTTAATATAACATAACAAATCAAAGATGAAGACCATTCAAATATCAAGCTTAATTGCACATTCATTTCCCATTATTCCTGTCACCAAGTTTAACATCTCTGTCCAGTTTGTCCTTGTTTTGGAAAGGCAAAAATACCCCCAAATACACAATGTCAATATAATGTAAATTAAGGTTGAACAAAATAATATCAGCATAGTTCTGTCCACATTAAAGCTTCTTAGTTTCCTTAAAAAGTACAGATGTTGTGAGCCTTTGCAAACCTAGCATACATTAGCATTCATTGGCAATTTACTCTGAATAAAAGTGGCCAGTTCTTATTGTTAGCAATATTCAAATAGAGCTATGTGCTTCACATTATAATGAAGATTGAGGTGCATGTGTCTCACCTCTGACGGTAAGCTCAGCGGTGGATTGGCTGTCTTTGGTCTTGCAGGTGTATTTCCCAGCATCGCTCTCCTCCACGCTGTTGATGATGAGTTTAGTGAAAGGTCCCTCCTGCTTCATCTCGTATTTGTCTCCAGGTTTGAGAGAAGTTCGGCCTTTCTTCCACTCCACAGGAGCTCCAGGTTTGGAGATCTCGCAGCAGAAGACCCCTCCGTCCCCCTCCTTCACCTCCAGGAGCGCGAGCTCTCGCTTGAACGTCACCGGAAGAGCTGTTGTTTAGGAAAGAACGTTATTGTCCGTATATGTACAAAAGATTCAATAAAACATCATATGAGACAGAATAAACTTTTATCGACACATTTGTATCCATGGTACATTTGTATCCATGGTGTAGAGTGTATGAGTATCTACAGGAGGAGGGTTGGCTTTTACATTACATTTAAATTAGCTGACACTTTTATCCAAATCAAATTACAATAAATCCATCAACCATGAAGATACAAACTCAAATCAGCAAGAATCCTGCAAGAACATTAGCTTACAATAAACCATTTTAATGTTGGTATACAATCTGACTCTGTATCTTGATTAGTCCTCGTGTTCCTCATACCATCCCAGTTTGTATCAACTTCCTTCTCCCCTTTGTTACTTGGTTGCCAGTTGTTTTTTAAAAGCTGGTCTTTAATAAAGCTGTCTTTTTGTTTATGACATATATTCTCAAAATGTCCCATTCAAATTGATGTACACCATAGTGTTAAAAACTTAGCATATATTTGTTAGTTTTCTTATTATTTCAAATATTGTTTGTCAAGTCTATTGACTGAATAACAAATGTTCCTTTCCTCTTCAAAACTATTCCATACATGGGGCGAAGCCTGCGAGCTAGTTCAGGCAGTCAACTCGAGCACCAATGATACATTAACACGTGACGCACCTCGTCCCTCTTACAACCAACCAAACACATTCTCCTAAACATGCCGCTCTATTGAAGCTGCCAGGTCTCTGCGTCGCTAATGCTGCCACTGCTGTGTTCACTTGCTATTGCTACGTTCATGTTCCTGCTGCTGTGTTTCATGTTGCTGCTGCTCGCCTGCCCCAGCACCACCCCAGCTTCCACCCCAGCTTCCACCCCAGCTTCCACCCCAGCTTCCACCCCAGCTTCCACCCCAGCTTCCACCCCAGCTCCCACCCCAGCTTCCACCCCAGCTTCCACCCCAGCTTCCACCCCAGCTTCTACCCCAGCTTCCACCCCAGCTTCCACCCCAGCTTCCACCCCAGCTTCCACCCCAGCTTCCACCCCAGCTTCCACCCCAGCTTCTACCCCAGCTTCCACCCCAGCTTCCACCCCAGCTCCCACCCCAGCTTCCACCCCAGCTTCCACCTGTAGGCTCGGGGGATAGTTATCTAATCATCACTCAATGTTCTTTGTAAATCTGTGGAGTGATGAGGCCCGAGCCTAGACGCCAAACTCAAACTATATGCTGCTTCTAATAACATATTAAGAAACACGTGAGTTGTCTGACTGAAATGTCCCACTTTGACTGTTTAACATCTCTGTTTTCACTTTAACTGGAACCGTTTTTAAAAAGGTTAAGAGTTAAAAACACATAGTTTTAAAAGTACAGCAGAGCTAATATGTGCCACAGATATAAACTGTGTTATCCTCTTCAGTCTTCTTCTCTTCACACTCACGTTTGACTCTGAGCTCGGCGCAGGTCTTCTCCTCTCCTGTGGAGCAGCTGTACCTCCCTGCGTCCTCTGGCTGCACGTGGAGGACAGTCAGCTGAGCCACCTTCCCCTCCAGGTTCATCTGAAACTTCCCTCGACCTGTGAGCTCTGACAGCAGCTCAGCGTCTCTCTGCCACTGCACCGGGACGCCTTTCTTGGACAGCTCGCAGCGAAGAGTCACACTGCTGCCCTCCTCCGCCTCCACACCCTTCAGACTCACTCTGAATGTGGCGGGAACCGCTGAGGAACAAAACACAGAGTCCTGATTCAACATGAGAGCAAAAAGAAGATCTTTAAAGAGGCATTTTACAGGTGGTTCAATACACTTCTAACTCGACTGGTTGTATGCCTCTGTAAACCAATCAAGTTGAAGTGTATATTTGTCCAAAATGTCCTATCTTCATTATTTTATCCTAGTAGAAATGTGGGTACCACTTTACAATAAGACTACCCTTATAAAGGATTCATAAAGGGTTTATAATTAGGTTATGAATTAGGTTAAACACTTTATTAATCATTAAGAACCATTTATAAACCAGTTCTAACATACATCAACACAGGCTCACTATTTGGCAAGATGACTAAGCCTTATATTGGCTACTCAGCGAGAATCAACTCAGTGAGCAACAGATACCAAGGATGCTGGCTGATGAAGAAGACGAAGTAAGCTAAGTAGCCAATATAAGACTTATCAGTACAGATAAATGTGGGCTCACTATTTGGCAAGCAACCGGTCACAGTCGCCCTGTTTATCTCATGTCTTGTAAAAGCTTATTCATGATGTATAAAGTGTTCACAACCTAATTAATAAATGAATTACAAACTATTCGTAAACCCTTTATAATGGTAGTCTTATTGTAAAGTGGTACCGGAATGTGTTATGACCCTAAATGCGAGACTTTTGATCTTTGGCCTCCAAACTCTATTTATTTAATCTCTGGGTCTAAGTGGACATTTGTGACGAATTAAAAAGAAATTCTTCTTCTTCTATATAAAACTAACTTCAATATTTGTTTTGATATGACAAGGACTCTAAATACAACACTGTGTGAACTGTATTGTTATGTATATGTAATCAACATGTTCTCATTCTATAGAATATATAAATCACTGTATAATACCAATGTGGCTGCCTGTGACCTTTGACCTCCAAATGAGACTTGAAAATGCTGTCAAAAACATTTGATTGGGGAAAAAAAGATTGATATTAAAAACTCATTTAATGTAATGTCTTCTGTATTAACTATACTCCAACAATTGTGTCTATGAGGAATAACAGGTTTATGCCACACCCTCAAAAGTACTTTATATGTACTTAATGGGATGTCTTTGTTTGTGTGTGTGTGAAATAAATGAATACAAAAATAAACCAAGCAGAATATGTCTGCCAAATTTGAAGCAACTCCCTCCAGGCGTTCCTGAGTTATCACGATAATGGCAAACCTGTTGCCAAACTAATATAAAGATAGCAGGTTTCTTCAACACACTTACTTACTTTATATTTACTCAATGGGATTTGTTTGTTTGTGTGTTCTTCCCTGAGTCCAAGTGGATATGTGTGCCACATTTGAAGCAACTGCCTCCAGGCGTTCCTGAGTTATCACGATAATGGCAAACCTGATGCCAAACTGAAAAACTAAGAAACTAGAGAGTGTGTTTTCCTGCACTGATTTGATCTAAACTCACCGATGACCTTGACGGTGGCCTTTGTCTTCTGCTCTCTGCACACGCAGCTGTAGACGCCACTGTCCTCGGGCTCGGCCTCTCTGATGGTCAGCTCCACGCAGGCCTCGCGCTGCTTCATCTGGAACTTCTCCCCGCTCTGCAGCAGATCTCCAGCCAGCCTCCACTGCACCGAGACCCCCGCCTTAGAGAGCTCACAGCTCAGAGACACGCTCTGACCCTCCTCCACCTGCACGTTCCTCAGCTTCTGCCTGAAGGTCACGGGGAGAACTGAGAGGCAGAGAGAAAGGCAGGTCAAGAGAAGGAAATGATAATCAAGAGTTTAATGAACAGCAATGTTAAATAAATAAAAAATATTAATACCAAGTATTGTCCATCTCATGGATACATCAAAACATGGAGACCAATTATGGAAAACCAATCTACTTATTGACTGATTTTCCATTTTGTCTACATACAAAAGTAGTCTTTAAGTGCTATAATGTAAAAAATAAAACATGAATGTGTCGTATTCAAACTTTGCAGTCATCTATTGCAGCATAACTTTTCAAAATATATGATTACATGTGATCATTCATGTCCATTTTGATATCCTGATTTGAAAACTATATTTCGTTTTTGTTTTGTTTTTAGCCCATAGTGGGTTTCTACCACACCTGTACATTGATTTTATTTGTGTTCTATTTTTACTTTACTTGACCACTTGTGGCCTATTTCTGGAGGTGGCAAATAAAATGTATTTTGTAGCATATGTAGTATATATTTAGTTTTATAAGTCTTAGATAAGGTAAGGTATTTTGGAATATAACATTAAGTACAAAATAATTACATAAGAAACAGGTTTGTGGCTTAAAATGAATGTAGTCATCAATCAAAATACTCATATTCATCTGAGTTAACTACCAATATTCCACTCATTGACCCCTGATAGACATTTGGTTGATTAAAAACCCAACGTTGTCTCAGTTTGGATTCCCTGCCCCTTATAAAAGTCAGAATACAGTAAATAAACCCCTCACTGTTGACGGTGAGCGTGGCGGTGCTCTCGATGTCTCCACAGATGCAGGTGTAGATGTCGCTGTCCTCCGGCGTCACATCAAAGATCCTGAGCTCCATCAGGACGTCTCTCTGCCTCAGGTGGTACTTCTCTCCGTGGGTCAGCACCTCGCTGCCTCGTCTCCTCCACTCCACAAAGGGAACGGGTTTGGACAGTTCGCAGCGCAGAGCCGCCGTTCCTCCCTCCTCCACCGCCACGCTCCTCAGCTTCTGCTTAAAGGTGACCGGCAGAGCTGAGGGGATACGGGGGAACAGGGGTTAGGATTAAATACTATTGAGGGAGAATAAATACACTTCTACTAGGCCTTGTAATTAAATGTTATTAGATGTGTTTGCTTAATCAAGAGCCTTAGCACGAGAGTGGGACAGATACAAAATGTTATTTCTCATACTGTTGGTCTTGTTCCCACACAAACAACAGTACATTTTTACTTACAGATAAAGATTAGTCTAATCTAATACTTTTTGATATAATACTACTTGTAGAATTAGATTCCATGTTAACAAAAACTGACAAGTTATATTCATTTACAAGAGTGCATTTAACTTGATTAATCCAATTAATAACTTTATGCATATGAGGATTATTTTAAGGTAGATTTAAGCTTTGAATGTCGGTCACCATAAAATATGACGTAACTTATTTTTGCTTGATAAATGCAACATTTCAATTGCAGCTACAATTGTTGATCAAATGACATTCAGTACAGCCCTAATTATGCTATTTTTATACTAAACTCACTATCCCATTTGTGTGTTTTGTGTCCTACCGTTGATTTTGACGGTGGTGGACGTCCTCTGGTCGGCACACACGCAGCTGTAGAGCCCGCTGTCCTCAGGAACAGGTTTCCATATGAGCAGCTCCAGCATGGTGTCCCTCCTCTTCATCTGGTGTTTCACTCCGTTCTTCAGCAGCTCGTGTCCTTTGTTCCACTCCACAAGCACTCCAGGTTTAGACAGCTCACAGCGCAGCAGCACGTTGTTCCCCTCCTCCGCCTGCATGCTCTTCAGCTGCTGGACGAATGTGATGGGGATGGCTGCAAAACCAGAGGAGGTATTTTTACTAAAGTCAATGTCAACTTTATTGTCAATCTTTCAGTTTGTGTGACAGAGAGATCAAAATACCGTTTCCCACAATCCCGAATACAAAAACAAATATGTATTAAAATATGTCTATACCTATATATACACAATCAAAAGACACATTTATACATATGTACACATTAAGACCTAAATAACTACATTAAGAGGAAGAAGAAAAAAGGCTCAGTGTTGGAGAAAAGTTTGACGCATTGTGCCAGCTAGTCAGAAAAACGTTTTAAACCACAACATGGAACTATATAACATTTTAACTCTCAAGGACGTGCACAATACCCGGCTAAGGGCCTAGAGCAGCCTATTTGCCCCATTCAAGTAAAAAAGAAAAACATATTTGACTGTTTTGGATGCTTAAATACAAGTAGCCCATTAATGCCAAACTTGAACTAAATTAAATCAACATATTGTACAAACTCCATTCCTTTCTATATTGTTTACCCAGCAACTATTTGCCCCCAGGGAATGAACATTATACAGAGCGAAAAAAAGATAAATGAATTTAACCTGGTTTACTTTGAATATACTGTATTAAACACCATTAAGGTGAATAAAGAACGTTAACCCTGTTTACACTTTGAGATATTTAACAATACAAATAGTTATATTGATAAAGACAAATCTAAGAAACACTTTCAGAACTATTGTGACATTTTGTGTTTTGTTCTGTAAGGTAAAAACCTTTTTCATGGGTGATTTTAGTTCAAATGTTCTTCCAGTTGCTGCACTCCAAGACAAAAGCTTGAGTTAATGTGCAATCATCAATATTACTGCAGAGCACATCAGCAAACATGTGAAAATCAGACAGAAATGGCTGAATTTACTTTGAAACACACTCCTGTGAAAGACTGTTTTGATGAAACTGTGAATGTTTTAGTTAACATCATGTAAAGTGCAAAGTGAACAACATACCCTGGACTTTGAGGCTGGCCGTGGTGCGGTGGTCTCTGCACTGACAGGTGTATTCTCCTGAGTCTGCAGGCCTCAGGGCTTTGATGGTGAGGGTGATGAGGGTCTTCTTCTGTTTCACCAGGACCCGGTCTGAAGGCCTGAGGCTCTCTACGCCTCTCTTCCAGTGGAACGGGACCCCAGGCAGCGAGTACTCACAGCTCAGGGTCACCGTCTCCCCCTCTCTGGCCTCCACAGGCTCCAGACCCTGGGTGAACTCTGCTGGGATGGCTAAAAGCAGAGGAAAAACAAAAGAAAAGTTAAAAAATGTAATGCGATTGAACATTTTACTTATAGCTTCTATATAATCAGTCACAGTTAACCCTTTCATATTACATTACATGTCACTTGTTAGACGCTTTTATCCAAAGAGACTTACATACTCAATACTGTGGGCAATTTGGGGTGAAGTGTCTCAGGGACACAACGACATGCTGACTGCAGTGGGGTTTGAACCTGTGCCCCCCTGATCCGAACACCAACTCACAACCCACTGCACCACACGCCTCCCTCATATATATCGCTCCTACCAACAGACTTGAAGGAGCCAAAATGCTCGTTTTGCCATTGTTATTATTTCTATTATTATCTTCATTTCTTTTTCACGTTTAATTCTTATTGTTTACCACTTCCGGCAATTGTCACGTGGGTGTGGTTTATTGGTATTTAGGTCACCTGTTGGATGCCGGGATTGGGATATGACGTAGAGGAGAGGGTGAATTGCTCGGATACTTTCTGTTGACCGGGTTTTAGTCTTTATTAAACACCATGGACTACAAATGACTACGGACTCTATATGGAACGCGTCACAGCGAAGAGCAAGTTTTAGCCTCTCAGCGGCATTACTCAGGGAGTTTTTGCCGCTAAAAGATTTATTAATAAAAAGCTTTTCTAGGATGTTTAGATCTATGTTATCTGTCATCTGACTCCACCCGAATGCTCACATTTATTTGATTGGATGTTTATGAGCCAATCACAGTGTTCCACATCATCTTAAATGGACTGCAGTAGAGCCACACCCTTTTATTCAGGACCATGAGGTGAGGCCATGGATGTATAATAAGAACTGGATACAGCGTGGGAGGCGGGGCCTCATTCATTCCTATGAGAGTTGCTCATTCGCGCATGATGATAAAATGGCCCAACTTTTGAGAGAGCGAAACGTCACAGATTACCCGGCATGCCTGAGAAGTACCCGTATGTGCGCTCATAGCGCATGCGCAACTTTAACCATGCCCCCCAAAATGCTCGTTCACATCAAGCACGTCAATTTGCGTACACGTAACAGCACCGCACGTTCATGACAGCATGGTAATGGATTGTTATTATGATAGATTTGATATTAACGAGGCGGCAGTTAGCAGCTAGCGGTTAGCTAGTAATTATGCTAATTTACACATCAATCGTTATGTACTTTTATATTACGCTGTAACAGGATCTAGTGATATCCAAGCAACAGAGCTTCATTTAGCATGAAATAATTATTGCACCGTATATATATGTATATGTATGTATATATATGTATATATATGTATATATATATATGTATATATATATGTATATGTATATATATGTATGTATATGTATATATATGTATATATATATATATATATACATATGTATATATATATATACATACATATACATATATATACGGTGCAATAATTATTTCATGCTAAATGAAGCTCTGTATGTATATGTTATTGTTATGTCACGTAGTTGATATTTACATGTGCTGTCCAAGTCCTTTAATAACAGCTCAATAAAATACTCCTCGTACCTCTGACCGTGACGACAGCCCTGGTGGTGACAGATCCAGCGCTGCACTCATAGACCCCGGCATCGCTGTTGCAGACCTCCCGAATCGTCAGTCGTGCTTCGCAGCCTGAACGACTGGCGGCGTATCTCGAGGAGTTCCACATCAGGCAGCCATCTTTGTACCACAGGATGTGACACGGCTTGGAGGCCATACAAGATAAAACCAACCCCCCTCCTTCAATTGCCTCACAGTCTTCCAGCGCTTTAATAAGGGTTGGACGCCTCTCTAAAAAAATGGGAAAATAAATGCAAATCAGGAAATGTGACATGTGAACACACGCTAAAAACTGTCGGTCAGATAGATATGGCAATTGTACACACATCCTTTACTCAAGTAGAAGTACAGATACTCGTGTTTAAAAATAATCTGGTAAAAGTAGAAGTACTGACTAAACTTCTTTACTCAAGTAAAAGTAAAGAAGTATGGGCTTTGAAATGTACTTCAGTAAAAAGTACCCATAACTAGCAGCTGTTTTAAAGAGTACCTGACCTCCCTTTATATGAATAGAACAATAATGTCATTGTTAGCTAATGAATGTTTCCATGCTGAACAACGGCAACATGACAACGTTTTCATTGGTCCCTCTTCTTTAGAGAAGACCAGGAAATGATGGATACACGGATCGTGTTCAAATCAATAGGCACGCAATGACTCTAAATAATAATGATCACGCCACCAAACACACATTCAAACTAAAGGAACCAGCCTGTTTGGAAAATGTAAGAAGTAGAAAGTAGTAGTAGAAAAATAAGTAGTGGAGTAAAGTACTGATACCAGAAACATGTACTTAAGTACAGTAACGAAGTATTTGTACTCCACTACTTCCCACCTCTGGATTAAAGCCTTACCTCTAACCAACAGCGAGGCGTACGATCTTTTGTCCCCCGCTGCAAACGAGATGGTGCCAGTGTCTTTGCGGGCGAGTTGTCTAAATGTGAGGGTGTGGTATCCTCCGGGCACCATCTGGATCTCGTTGAGGTCATTGGTGTACAGCAGAGTCTCGTCCAGATACCATTTGACCCCGATGTAGTCACTGGGACAAATTCGACACCTGAACGTGACTGTGTCGCTTTCCAGACACTCAACATCCTCCAATTCATCCAGGATCAACACCTTTTGACCTGAGTGAAACGTGGAAAAGATAGAAGAGTCAGATATCCCATAAACTTAATTTACAGTGGCTGTATTCGGATAGAAGACCTAAAGAAGAAGAACGCATCGATTATAGGTCACATTTTATCGAGAAAATATTATATTTTCTAAACAAATAGTCAACGACGACTGCTTCGCCAATTATTTGGTGCGTTATAGTGACCCCTTCTGGTTAGTACCCATACTGCAGAAAGGAGTTCTTTTTAGTTCCCATGTGACAGGAAGTTAGCTCAAGACATTTTAAAATGGCATGTGTGCTCCAGTGAAGGTGATGTCTGTTTATCCGGTGCCATCCATCGTTCATAGCCTTTGAGAAGGCATTACCTGTACGTTTTTATGTTTCTACATTCAATATATTTGCTCTGAGTGCATTATTGTGATCATTTATCTAAGCTTACATTTTTGTAGTTGTTGTACTGTATATGCAATATAGCCTAAACATTGCATCTATATACTTTGGCATTGACCTAATTTCCTGCTGTCTTGGAGTATATCTATGTATATGTTATTGTTATGTCATGTAGTTGATATTTACATGTGCTGTCGTTTCTGTCTTTTTTCAGTTTCACACTGCTTGCTTAGTAAAGCTACTAAACATCACTTTGTGGTCCTGAGTTTTGCTGTGAGAGTGTTTATCTCACTGGTTAACTGAGAAGGAGATTTCGGCAATGCCACTTTTTTGCCTTAAAAACATCAAATTGCTTTAAAATTGTAATGATGCACAATCCTAATACCTTTAGCCCAACTATAATTTGACCTAGGTATAATGTATCACCCCTGAACCGTAGAAGTGCAGTGCCTCATGTTCTCACCCTGCACAGTCAGCTGTGCTCGGCTCTGCATGGTACCGACGTCACACGTGTAAACATCCATGTCCGACTTCTCCAGACAGGTGATGGTCAGAGACAGTAATACGCCTTTCTGCCTGATGACGTACTTCCTGCCGGACCTCAGCTCCACCATGCCCTTCAGCCAGGTCACCAGCTTGGCCGGCTGCCTGGTCTCACAGTCCAGAGTCACTTTGCCCTTTTCCTCGGCTCGTGTTTCCCTCAACTCCCTCGCAAATGTGTGCTGGAGTTCTGAAAGGGATAATGTTTAGCTTCACATTTATGCTGCAATCCAGAGAACTTTTTCCATTTGAAATGACCAAACTTTCAAGGAATCCAGATGAACAACCATCAATTTAAAGGTAATCAGAAGTAAATTTGCATTTATTTAATTAAATATAACATACTTAATTTACTGTTCTGCGTGTAAATTGATGTCAAAATGTGTTGACAATGTTATAGTGTAGCAGACTTTGGTAGACAATCTCTGTAAGCAAACTTCTCTGCACTTAAGTAATTCAAATGTTTAAGATTGCCAGCTTTGTGTACACAGGCCAAAGAAAGATATGTTTGTCACAGACAGTCATAGGTTTTACTTATTTTTTCTTGACAATGTCCAACTTCAATGTAAGAAGTTGAACATTGTCGAATTCCAAGTTGTCTTAAACACAGAGTTCATACTCCAGTCGACCATCCACATGGCAAATAGTACATAACACTTAAGAGCAGCATTGCAAAACAATTGATTAAGAACACTAAATAGTATTGTTAATTAAGCTCACCTCACATTTGTTTTGAAAGCCCACACCTACCTCTGATGTCCAGCTTGGCCCGTGTGGCGATGCCGTCGGCCTCACAGCAGTACTCTCCAGAGTCGTTGATGGTGGTGTTCTTAATCACCAATCGTGCCAAGTTCTTCTCTACACTCATCTCATACTTGGGGCTCGGTCGGATGAAGTGGCCATTTTTCAGCCAACGTATGGTGGCTTCTGGTTTGGTGATCTCACAGCTCAGCTCTGCGTCCTCGCCCGGTACCGCTTTGACGTTCAGCAGGTCCCTGAAGATGTGCACTGGCTTCTCTAAAGGAAGGAAATGCACTTCATTTGTATACCTACATTTACCAATGCATGTTCTATTTATTTGTGTGGTATGAAGCAGGATGTGTTTCAACTCAAACTTCTCAGAAAGCAAAGATGCATGTTGTGGTGTCCCACAGGGAAGGTGCCTGGGCCCACTTCTATTTTCATTTATTTGGGAAAATGTGTGATAATTTGCAGTTACCAAAGGTCATCTGTTACTTCCTTATCCAAAACTCAGTCAGTAACAGGGCATCAAGAACAGGGAACTCCTACAAACCTACACAAACTTAACACATTTGAAGTAAATATCTATTTAAAATAATCTAAAACTAATGTGACACAGGTATTTACCTTTAACGAAGAGCATGGTCCTACAGCTTAGATCCTTAATTGTGAAGACCACGTCGCCAGCATCCGTTAGCATAGCATCTCTTATGGTCATCTTATAGTTACGACCATTGTTGATAACCTGGAGTCGGCTGTCGGTTACCACCACCTGGCCATTAATGGTCCAGAAAGGTTCTTCATCGACATTATGAGAGAGGTTGCATTCAAAGGTGCAGATTTCGCCTTCCAGAACAGATGTTGTCTTCATGCGTTGAACAATAGAGATGTGTAAGTCTGTAGGGATATATAATAACAAAGGAGAGAGTAGCAATACACAACAGGGATACATTTACTGTAACATAACTGTCAGTTCTAAACAACGTTTTTTTGAGGCTCAAAATTTAAAAATGTCCCCCATTTCTTCTATCATTTTATTAACCCTACCTATGAAAAGGAATACAAAATGTTTTACATATAATTGTGAACCAGTAAGTATAGAAAACAACTTTATCCACAATGGGTGGAAATTGGTGGGAATGGTTGTTCCCAAAACACTAAACTTTCACCCATGAGCGATCACGGAAGTCCATTTTGAGTTTCTTTCAGATTTATTTTTCTTATATTAAAATAATGTTTGCATGTGTTGACTGGAAATACGAGAACTTTTCGTAAGTTTTCCTACGAATAGTTGTTTGACAATAAATTGATTATTTGGCAGCTCGGTTGTCAACAGGTCTAATGTCTTCCTACTCACCATGCACAGTAACTTTGGCCTTGGTCTGGCTGGTTCCCAGATCACAGGTGTACTGTCCAGCGTCCTCCTTGCTCAGGGAGTGGATGATCATTGCCATGGATTTCCCAAACTGGAGTAACTCGTGTTTATCATCAGCGGTCAGGACTGTACCATCTTTCCTCCACACAGGGGTCACCGTATCTTTGGAAATTTCGCACTGCAGACAGACCTCCCCTTGCTCTTCTCCTACTACATCCTCCAGAGACCTCAGGAACACGGCTGGGCGCTCTGCAGCCAAAGACACCGTTTAAAAGCGTGCATGTTTCTCAGACATTTGAGGTCCAGAAAAACGTTTATTTGCATGCTTTAGAAACTTCTAAGACAATTCTGGACATATGTCTTCCAATTGTCTGATATGTGGCTAAAGAATCATATCCCTATAGCAATATCAGTCAAAATAATAATAATTTTCCCAATCATGCAGGCCTAGTTTTTGCCTTTTTTGCGGCACATTTGTTGTGTATGTAATGGCGCATTTCCACTACACGGTCGGCCTCGGCCACACTCGGTACGGCTCGGTACGGCTTGGCCGCGTTGGGCCTTAACAGGGCCGACTCACTTCATGCTGCGCTTCCATTACAGTTTAGGAACTGGGGTAGTTACTATAGTAGAGCCGTGACGTCATCTTCAATGAGAAATCCAGAAACACAACACAGCCGTTAGCTGTGAGCACTCAGAGCTCACAGCTCCTTATATATGTTCAGAAACTCGACAAAAGTTAAACAAGTACAAACCACAGACTGCCTGTGTCATGGTGAATACAGTCGCTGCTTTATTTATGTCTGTATAGGCCGTTGTTGTGAGTGTGGACGGTCGGGGCATATACTGCGTTAGCTTAGCCAATCTCCATCTAGAAAAACACGAATTTTAAAAGGTTTTTCGCCTGCCGTCTGTCTGCAGACTTGCCAAAGCATTAATTCATGGTTTTTACTAACCGGTATCAGTATGTTGTTACTTCGGCATCATTTTGAAACGTGTATTACAATTAAATCACGGTCAAATATGTCCATCTTGTTGTAGTTCTAGCCCTCTTGCCAGCGCTCCTCTCTCTAGTTTAGCATACTTAGCCCGACTCAGCCCTGTTTGTTGGCCCCGATAGAACCACAATTTTCTAGGGCCAGAAAAGAGGGGAAAAAGTGGCCCCGCGCCGTGCCGCGCCGGAACGAGGCCTAGTGGAAGCACAACCAAAAAAGGGGACGGCACGACACGGCACGCTTAAAGCGAGCTACGCGCTGCAATGGAAATGCGCCATTATTCTATGTATCGATAAACAGGTGTTAGAAGAAAACATCCCCCAAGCTATTGACCAAACTGACCTTTGACATTTAAGGTGGTAGTCTCCGAGAGGAGGCCTGTTTTGAAGGTGACCCTGCTCTCCTGTGGCCGCACTTTCTTGATAGTGAGGCTGTGCATCGTGCCCATGTGCTGGATCCTGTTGATGGCGTTGCAGTAGAGGCGCACGTTGTTGAGGAGCCACTCCACGTTAGCAACCACGTAGTTCAGCTCACAGGAGAACGTGGCGTTGCCCTCCTCCTCGATTTCCACCGGCTCGAGGTGTTTTACCAGCTTCAGCGTACGCACTGCAATTAAAATGTGGAACAAGTTAACAACTCGTGTAAATAGGTAGTGTAATAAAAACACGGGAAAGTAATGACTATCCTAAACAGGAAATGTCGGTGTAATTTTTCGGTATCTTATTTGATTCGAAAATAATTCTAGATCCAGATGCTTATTTCAGGGTCTACTGCATTCTGATGTATCTCTTGTAACATAAATATTGGAAATCGTGATTCAGAACAAAATACATCTTGATTATAACATGATTTCTTTACCCACCCCTTACAGAAAGTTCACTACACCTTAACCCTATATGGTCAAACCTAAATGGTTGAACCCTATTCAAACATTTTATTTCTTCAGTTCTTTTTTTCCGTTTTTTTAAAAGGGGTTATTTATTGCATTAATTAGAAATTACAATTGTTTTTTTCCCCAGAGATGACAGCATATAAGATTATGTTTCATTTATCAAACATTGTGATTTTCTCAAGAAAGTTTGTTATCTTGAGAACGCAAAAAATGATCTTGGGAACATCTGTTATTTCAAGAAACTGACATAAATACTTTGGGATGTAAAGCAAACGTAGGCTACTTGTAATCATGCTAACCAAATGTAATTAAATGATTCAACAATGGCCTTTGAGGGCTTCTGTACACCTCACCTGTCCCCAAAATACATTAAACCCACCTTCCACTTTAAGATGCGCTGTGCTCTGTGAGCCCCCGGCCATGCAGCGGTACTGTCCTGCATCTATCCCTGTTAAACCATGAATGGTCAGGTGCGCTCGTTTCCCTTCTCTCTTCATGCTGTACTTGTTGGAGGTCTTCAGAGCCGTGCGGCCTTTAAACCAGCGCACCACCCGGGGAGACGGAGCAAACGCACAGCTCAGAGTCACAGAGCTCTTCTCCTTCGCCTCCACATCCTCCAGGGGGTGGGCAACCTCAAGAGGACGCTCTACAGGGGAAAGATGAAATACTGCTTAATAAGACATTCTTCAAAAATCCCATAGAACATAGACACATGAAAAATCCTGAGTTTTGGATTTTTTTTTTTTTTTCCCCATACATTTTAAGACAACTAAAATTTCACAATTAACTTTCATGAAGCGAAAGCAAACACTGTGAAAAACACAAACGTTTATTTTACTTTAAATGGGACCAAAAGTCGAGTTGCCCCCAAAAGTCGAGTTGCCCCCTAATGGATATTAGAGAAAATGCAAGTTGAAGGTATACTTGAGTATGTGGTTACCACTTACTTCTACACTGTTGCTATATGCAATAATAGAAATAAACAATAATTGTACTATATACACTGATTTTATTTTTAATTAAGGTCACCATTTTTTTTATGCATGATTGTTATTAAGGAAATCCAACTCTATGTCACCCACAAATGGCTTTACTCACAGTCTCAGCCCACTCACCGTTGACTTTAAGCTGCGCTGTGGAGCGACTCTTGCCGGCTGCAAAGAGCACGGGGCCCGACATGGAGCTCTGTGTGGAGGTGAGGCAGAGGCTGTGCACGGTGCCCTGCCTGTCGATGTTCACGGCTGAACACGCCTCCAGCACCTCCCCGTTCAGGGTCCATCGGGGGGGCCTCCCTGACTTCAGGCTGGTCTCCACCTGGAACAGCGCGGGCTCCGGCTCCATCACCTCCACGGAGCTCATCCCCCGCACTATGCTGATCGCCTGCTCTGCATGTACAGCCATTATACACATGAACACTACTCCAGACTTACAACATTACGGAAAAGCGTCATGAAAAACACTCATGGTTTGGTAGTATATGTGTTGCACATGAATGAAAAACATACTGTAGGCAATAAACTTAAAGGTCACCTATTATGCAAAATCCACTTTTTCATGTTTTGTATACATCAACATGTGTCCCCTCTTCTCCATGTCTCTTCTACATCAACATGTGTCCCCTCTTCTCCATGTCTCTTCTACATCAACATGTGTCCCCTCTGTGTAAAGAGACTCTGAAAGTTTCAGGAAAAAAGATTTGCTCACTTTTTGTCCTGATCTGAAAATGAGCTGATCAGATTTTGGCCACTTTATGATGTCATAAAGGTTTTTTGGCTTGTGTCACCATTAGCAAATCACCAACCAAGGTAACCCCCCCCACCTTATCACCTGAATCTCCTCCTAGAGCACCATTGTGTTCTTTTTAACCAAATATCTGTCAGAGGGGCGTGGGGAGGGGCTCCTTATTTTCATCTAAAGTAACAGACAGAGAATCTGCACTTTGGAAACAGGGCTGAAACAGAGGGGATTATGGGATGCTGCAATGATCTGTTTGGTGTTTGGAGCCAAACACTTCAGACACATGTTTGTATATATCTGAGACCTATAATATATTGATGAGAAACAGTATAATAGGGGACCTTTAAGAGAGGATTTTTGAGAATCAAATATATGTTTTGTAAAGGTCCATACATTTTGCATGATCCGTATCTAAGAACTGTATCTAATAGATATCACAATGAAAATTATATATGTTAATCAATCATTTCTGAATGGCTGTTGACATCGGGCTCACCCTCCACCAGCAGCTGACAGGAGGTTTTGTCGTCTCCTGCATCACAGGTGTAGGTGTCTTCGTCTGAAGAGCAGACGTCGTCGATGGTCAGCTGCCGGTAGACATCCTGGCTGATCAGTTGGTATTTCCTGCTGGAAACGAGCTCCTTCCTGTTCTTGTACCACCGGACCTGAGCATTGGGCCGGGACACCTGGCACTCCAGCAGACCCCGGTGCCGATACATGGCTATCTTGACTCTCAGAGGACGCACTATCACGACTGGGAGCTCTGGAGAAGGAAGGAACAAGTTAAAAACCCCAAATATTTTACTACTTAAGTTCAGGTTTAATTGTGTCGGTTGGCTCACCTTTGACTGTGAGAGTCGCATAGGATGAGACTCGCTCGGCAGTGAATTTGATCTCTCCAGCATGCTCTGGTCGGACTGACTTGAAGAACAGGGTGTGAGTTTTACCTGCAATCAGATCAAAGAAAAAAAATGTCTCACTTAGAGCTCCAACATGGGGATTACGTGTTTCATTGTAAATAAGACTCTGAAAAGATACCGGCCTGATTTTCATGAAATTTCCTAGAAGATTGTAACATGGGACAATGAAGAACCTAATTAATTTATGAATAGATCCAAATCACGGAAAGGATACCCAAATGATCTTTCTCTTTTGTTAACATTGTGAGATAAGGCATGTGTGCTGCAATTATTTGGTGCCCAAATAATGGGGAAAATGGGTTCAGGTGAAATGGGAGAATTCGCATTAACGCACCCTCAATTCAAACAAACAACTCGTAAAGTCGGCAAAAAATGTGTACGCATTTCCTGGATCACCTGACCCGCTACCTTTTTTCTTAGTTGGCTTGCAAATATCCTATAACACATCTTATTTGTAGCGTCCATGTTGTTACCACATAATGACTTAAAGCTCAAGAGAAAACCGAAGCCTGCAGAGCGACTTCCCAACTCTTGAAATGTGGCCATCCTAAGAGCAAATGATCGGCCGTGATCTGTACGTTTTATATTTCTGTTTTTACTGTAACGCACAAAGTATGTATACTCTTTAGGCTTATATGTCAGCGGTTGGTGTCTCACCGTGGTGATTGGTCTTGACGTTGTCCCCAGGTCGGATTCGGCAGTCGTCTCTGTACCACCGACCATCCAAATCCTCCTGGTTGACCTCACACAGGAAGTTCACAGGTTGACGCTCCATCGTGTCAACATCCTCCAGCTCCTTCACTATGTGGATGTCCCTAGCTGGCAGGAGAAAAAACAAACTGTGACTGACGTTAAAGTAACCAAACAGAACTTTATCATCCTGTCAGATCTCTCTCAGTCATCACATTATGACTTTTTGAAAATACTTTGACCAGTATTTGGAAATTGTCCATGGTGATTAAAAGTGTAAAAACAAAAGAAAACATCACATCGTTTTTGAGCTGATACCATATTTAGAGTTACAGCAGATTGAAGATTCTTAAACCAATGCTTTGGACCAATTGAAGCCCCATCATATGAATGTTTAGGTCTTGTCAGGTTCTGGCTATGAGTTGGATTTGACTCTGACATTTTAATTGTCCTAGTCACAAAAACCCAATCAAAAACAATGAAAGTAGCTCGGCCTATTGAACCTCCTCACCTGTGACACTGAGTCTGCCTGCAGTCTGAATGCCGTTGGCCTCAAAAGAGAAAAAGCCTGCGTCTCCTAAAGCCACGCGGCTCAGCACCAGCGAGTGTTTCTTCCCATGTGTGCTGATGCGCCAGTTGGGTTTGGACTTTAGCTGCATGTCATCTCTGGACCAGACGCCCTCGATGAAGGCCAGGTTCAGGGTCACTTCGAAGGAGCAGCTCTCACACTCAGACACCTCCACATCCTCCAGGCCCTTCACCACCTGCAGACGGTTCTCTGGCACAAACACACACAGGGTTAAAGATCCAAAAGGTAATTCTCTACTGCACTTAAATGTACCACTTAGTGTGAGAAAACTTACTTGCGGCAGCTACTATTCCTCCAGGTATTGTATCTCCCATGTCTCCAGGCATTCTCTCAGTGTGATTGGGAATCTTGTTTGCTTTTAACCAAAGTTATTATAACTATAAAATGAAGAAAACATATCAATAAATAACACTGACCCAGAAGAAATTATGCCACACGGCCTATTTCAGGTTACTCTCTTGAGAAAATAGTTTTGCACATTATCCTTTGCAATGTTTGTTTTTTAACATTTGACATGCCAAACAAATAGAGTAGTGCAGGGATGAAGTATTTTTGTAGGCAGACCAGGAAGTTAGCATCTCCCTGTTTTCCTTGACAAAAAGGCAAAAGCTAATGCTAGGCTATAGAGGAACTGCCTCACGGCCACTTGACTTGATGTCAGCACCGGCAAGCTAAAGGCAGCTAATGTTAGGCGTGATGACATTTAGTATTCACATTTAGCCATTTAGAACCCGCAGTTTTTATGACACGACTGGACATAAACCAGTGGGGGATTTACTGACTTATTTCATGTCATGGAACACAACATGAAAATCTCTTCAGCCTGTGTAACCACAGCTCTTTTTTCAGGCATCTAACTAAAAAACATATTCAACAGGAAGTGCTTAAATGTTGACTAATTTCGAAGTTTAAGAATCATTCCTGCACCACTGTTTTCCTCCCAAGCTAAGGATGTTTTAGCCTTCTAAAATGGCAACATTGCCCTATCAAAATGGAAAGACATGGCTTGACTGTGATGTGGTCGAACCCTGTGATGGCATGCCAGCGCTCCCCAGTATAACAGCAGAGTAATCTCTGTCACCTCACTCGGCTGAGCTCAGCACCACCAATATAGACTCAGCTGTGATACCACCTCCATCAGGCTGCATGCACTGAACTGAGGAGAAGGGGACGCTTATAAAAACAAACGAGAACTGCCAATCACACAACTGATTAATATTATGTGAGATCATCACAAACTGGCTCCTCCCACAATCATTACGAGGTTTTCTCTAAGAAGACATTCCTTCTCATCATAATGGCTACAATTACATAGCATAATGCATCACACAACGACACTTAATCTGCCAATCATTATCTACGTTTTCTCTAGAGGCCAAATCAGTTATATCTGTTGAGGTATTTTCCAAGCATGTCATATGGGAAAATACCATGCTTAGGGTTAGGGTTAGCGTTAACACTTTAACTTATTTTCCACTGACATAACATGTGATGGAAACTATCTTTTGGTCCTAAGAATGCAAACAAAGACAGAAAAACTACCAGAATATTGCAAGAATATGTCAGATCCTCTGCAGCGATGCACCCACCTTTAACTTTGAGAAAGGTTCCTAGAAAGAATAAATCCTTGCATGTCTTCTTGTTGCACAAAAACAAAACTCCATCACCAGAAAAAGAGGATAAAAACATCCAACATGGCAACAGACGTGTCCGAGGCTCGTCTTGTGTCTCACAAAGCTTTTAAGATTAACAACAAACGTTTAGCCAGAGGAGAGCGTGCCCAGGTTGGAGAGTCCCAGAGGCAGACAGCATAAAGCGCTTTCTCTTTTTTCTTGTGGTGATGGAGCGAAGTGCTGAACAGCTGACATATCTCTCCCCACATACTAACCTCCAAAATAGCCCTCCGTCAGTGTAAGGGCAAAGATAGCTCTGGTTATAATGGTGTGAGGCAACTCATGTCCAGCATCAATGGAACTATCGTTAAACAATCAAAATGTATACAATAGGCTTAGTGAGTGTTGGATGGTTTTCTACACAGAATTGATGAGTGACAAACAAGTCAGTGGTTCCCAATCTTTTTCATTAAGAGACCTTTTTCCTGCCATCAAGGGACATATTTTTGGGATATTCTATATTATTGTAAATGCATAACTAAAACATTGCTAGGCTCTGTGAATAAAGCCTTTTGGGTTAAGGTGTTCAATATGTTAAGGTGTTTTTAAAAATCCTGTGAATTTATATATATGTTTTAAATGTTTAAAGATAGCCAAACATTATTTTTAAGATTTCTTCACATTTACTTTTGATATTTTATTATTATTTATTACATTTATACACATTTGTTATTTTTATTAGTTTTTATTTTAATTTTATTTTTAATCTTTTTGTCTTTAACCTCTAAAAAATCAAAAAGTCCTTGGGAGCCAAGTTTGGGAACTAGTCTATATAATGTGTAAAGTGTTAGTGTGTGATTATGGGTCTCACATATCCTCTTTTAAATACACCTAATTGGCATTCCCTTGTGAGGTAATTTACTGGTCCAGCAGCCATGCAGATATTAATTAATCTAGCGCCTCCAACTTGAAAATATTTTAGGGTGACAAGGTTTATTTAGCTTAAAATAAACAAGATTTAACATTGTGGGGTTTCCCCTCTCATCCAGACAGTGCACATCATTGTGTCCGCCTCAGTTTGACGGACAGTTCCATGTGCCCTCCTTAATCCAGTGAAACTCGACAGGATAATCTCTCGGGGCACAAAAAACAACTTGTCGTCACTGAGAGAGGACGAAGGCCTGCAGAAGCAAAGCAGTCTCCTTTTACAATTCTCCAGCAGGACACTCGTTACCGAGCTTTTAACAAGCTTCTTGGAGCCATGGAAGGAAATATTAAAAGGCCTTTATTGGGGAGGCCTCACCTTTCTTATTAGCCCTGACCAAGACCTACGTTAGTCAGAACATGTTGGCCTTTAATCATTCAGACACCATCATAAAGGTGTTTTACTATTTCCTTTCTCCTGGATACTTTAGTTGTAGAGCGGCTTCCTGTTCATCCTGTTTTTCCAAGAGCACCCAACAGGTCTTTCATCCAGGGTTGAGTTTACAGAGCAACAAGTTATCTTTATTTTGGTTTTATTTGAAACGTATCTATAGTAAATGTAACTTAAAGATTTGTGCATATGCATTACAAACAGAACATGCTTTGCTTTAAAAAGCCTTTTTTTATATGTTTATTTTTGTGAGTGAGACATGACAATAGGCTACATTGGGTGCTAGGATTATGGGAACCAGTGCAATGCTATCTTCTAGGTCAGTTTACAAAATATGTCACCACTCTATGTCTTTGGCATGAATTAGTCAATTTGGACCAAAACAAACACTGCAACAGGTTATTCACAAAACCATATCTACACAGAGTACCTGATTGGGTGACATAAGGATTAACACACTTCTTCTCCCTGGCCTTCTAGTCAGAGCAGAGCATGACACCTGACTATTCCCTGTGTTTTTTTATATTTCTGTTGTAAATTATTGTCTTTTATTGTGATTGTAGTAATGTGTTTTTATTACATGTGGCTCGACCAAAAATCGCTTTTAAATGTGCTATAAATAAAACTTGATTTGATTTGATTTGAACATGACAGAAATAAACAAACAAACAACATATCTTACAGTTTATTAGTGAAGATGCAGGGCATTTATTACAGTATTTAAGAGTGATTATTAGTGTGGAGGAACCATAGGCAGGAGCATGTTTTAAGAGACAGAAGAAAAATAAATGAAAAAGAAGAAGAAACAATTCAGTTGTCCTGGGTGAAGTGCCAGTAAAACCCCCAGTTTATTTGTATTCCCAAATGTTGCTTGATGTTGAGGCAACCCCTCTGTAATTGCACTCCAATGCCTTTCATGCAAATCCAACTGTTATGTTCAAAATAGGGAAATGGTCGAAGGCACTATAGTGAAAACAACTTTAATTAGATGGCTATTTCCAATAAAAAAGAGCTAACGACTGACACAAACAGTCTTCATCAGGGCTGTTTTAACATTTATAAGCAGTATGTTTTTTAAATCTGATTAAATGCTTTTTAACTGTTTGCAAGAAGAGTGATATGGACCTTTTCTGTTCCTAACAATGTCTGAACTTCTGAGCACCTCAGACCTTTTTTCTTTTTGAGGACGTCATGTCTTTTGAACTCAAACAGATGTAAGAAAAGGCCTAAAATCATCTCCCCCCCAAAAGACGTCCAACAGATCAACCTTATCTGGATAAATGTGGGCCTCCTTGTGTGCAGCATCCTATTGATGGTACACACGGTCTAAAAATAGAGTAATGTTAAAGGCAATATGAGGATGTGTTGAGTGAATTTAGAAGTCGACAAAACAGCTGAACAGTCCACCTAAGCCTCTGGATCCCTGTTTGGAACAACCCCCACCTCCTCCTGTGTGTCACATTTCCTCCGGTCCAGACTCTACACCTGACATATAGAAGAATATGTATCTGTTAAACACATACTGTATATTTATTCATCTGAATATGAGTGTGTAACAGCATGCTGTTAGTTATGTGTTATGACCTTGAGTCAAGAAAATAAAGTGGACAGTCTTGGTATGTCTAATTACAGCACGTCCTTGTGTTTAATATCCCATCCTTTCTAAACAAGTTGCCTCACAGCGTCATCTAGTGAGCCTCAGAGGTACTAACAAGTGGTTAAATAATTTAAAGGGGCCCTACTCTGCTCATTTTCAGGTTCATATAAGTATTTAGTGCCTCTACTGTGACATGTCTCCATGCTTTAATGGGGTAGGGGACTGTGTTGGAGAGAAACTCTCTCCGAAACTCTCTCCGAAGGGAACACAACACAGGGATGTTAGCCTTTGTACATGCACAAACACAGCCTAAGGAAATGGAAAAGAGCTTGAAGCTTGAACATAGGTCGATATTTCCACATTATTAATGAGGTAAAAATGTTAGCATTGACTAAACACATAATCAAATGTGGAAGAACAATTGCAAGGTTTTACCATGGAAACATGGAAATGGAACATGATGCTGAGATTATGTTATCCATTCGAGCAGACTAAGGAAAACTCTTATTAAGACGGTCACAAGACAGGAGTTAGCACCCGTTAATAATCAAGTGCGTCAGATATTTTAATAATACAAACCATTGTTCGAGGTTTTTGCCTCTTTTGTTCCGTCTCAGTGGATGACAGGAAAGGAGGGACAATGGACACACTTTGAGGAATGGACTGTTAGATATTTGCGTGATATTGTCCTACTTTTCCTTCTTGAGTTATGGCAACAACAAAAAAAGTTTTGAGAGGTCACACGTACCCAAACAAAAATCTCCTTCTGTCCAAGAGGATATTTGGGTCAAATTCCCTTTTTAAAAACATATTTTACTGAACAAAAGAGTTTGAAAAGGTGGAACATCAATTTTGTGTTTGTGTTCCACTCACATTAGGGATACTGAACTTCATGAACAAATATTTCAGATATTTCAGCTTTTTCAGATCCAGCCCACCTTTGTGTTCAAAGGTGGGTATGCATGTGTGTGTGTGTGTGTGTGTGTGTGTGTGTGTGTGTGTGTGTGTGTGTGTGTGTGTGTGTGTGTGTGTGTGTGTGTGTGTTAAATTATTCACGTGTAAGCAGCTGTCTCATCTTCCAACAAAAAGTAATCTCCTGAAAAGCAACAAGTGGAGGAATTATTTATCATCAAAGTGTTACTGACACTGAGCAGTCAGACAGAAACCTGCTGCTGCTTTTATACTGAACACACACACACATACTGTACTGCCTCACCTGCTGCTTCAGTCTGGTCTCCTCAGAATTACATTAACACAACTAAACATGACTAAACAGTGACATTTACTATTTAAAGGGAAACATCATTTCTCCCAGTTTATGTTTGTTTTGATGAAGTTTCACAATACACTTCTAATCCGGTCCGCATAGGGAACGGTGAAGTGGATAGATGGATAAAAAACGCAGGACTTTAACCCAGGAAATGTCTAATGTCTGTCCTGATACATTACGGAGGCGTGTGGTGTAGTGGGTTGTCCGTAGGTGTTCGGATCAGGGGGTCACAGGTTCAAACCCCACTGCAGTCAGCATGTCGTTGTGTCCCTGGGCTTCACCTCAAATTGCTCCTGTGGGGATTGCCCACAGTATTGAGTAAGTCGCTTTGGATAAAAGCGTCTAACAAGTAATAATGTAATAATTATGCTGTTTACATGCTGCTGTGACATACAAATGTCCCATATTAGGCTTAATACATTTAATATAATATAATGCTATTTTTCAACATCAATGTTGTTGCCAATTATTGACATATCACAAACAAATGCAATGTGTCTTTTAGGACCAACAATAAATACATTTCCTGGGTAATAAAGTTCAGTTTTTTATAAACAGGTTTATTTAATGGGTTAAGATTGTGGAAATGAAAGAATATTTCGTAATTGTATTCAGGACTGACTGGCGAAAATAGTCAATCCAGTAAAGGTTGAAAATAATATCAATAGTGAATATTTGTTGTCAACTAAGGACATTTTATCAGCATTTTTAGAATAAGATAAAGGGTTAAATGAAGTTTAAATTACAATTTACAGTGATAAAAAGAAGATTGACCTGGTATTTTCACATGGGACAGTTGGGACACCTTTGTAAACCCTTTATGTTTTCCTCGGGACAACGCCCACTTCGCCAGAATTAAAACCCTGTCCGTTTTTCCTCCACGGAGACGCACATTTTTCCTAGACAATCTGATCGCTGGAATCTGTCTTTGTTGCTGCTCTTGCTGTCCAACCAGCCAATCAGCGTTAGTATCCTGTTTGAAACGCCCACAAATATCGCTCACTGTCCAATCAGGGAGCTCCTTTACCCGAACGCCATTTTGTGGGTTTATAACAGCGATGGTCGGGTCTCCTGCTGGCGGCTGGTTGCTGGAACCTGTTGCTCCGCAGTTCCGTGTTGTGCAATGGACGGGTGAGTTCTCCAAGCGTCTTTACGTACACACTCAGATAAAATGTACTTTCTGCCTGTTTTATTCACACCTGAGAGCCATAAGAAAAACATGTCGTCCACTAACGGTTGTCCAGAGAGCCGTTGGTGTTGTTGTTGTTTGCTTAACTGTCGATAAAGTTGTGTTTAAAGTGGTAAATAAGCAGGAGTTAGCATTAGCGTTAGCATCGGGACGGCCCATTCTCAAAACCCTCCATTTCACCACCTACTTTTTAAAAGGTGCTTTCGTTTACATGCAAACACACATTTATTTAGCACATAGCGTTATTCTTAGGATCTGATTTTGATGAATAGGTTGTGGGAAGAATCACTAAGTTACAGTAACGTTACAGATTCACGATGTTCTCACGCCCACTGAGTGTTTTCACGATGCTGCCTCACCTAGAAAAGTGTAGATTCAGTGAAAAATAATGTAGTTTCATGTGTTAAAAGTGTGCCGATTTGAAGAGTACTCCCAGTTGATTCGTTTAAGGTGAACATATTATGTTTTTATAGGTTTGTTGTTGTGAGGATTAAGAATGCAAGTTAAAAATGACCATGTTTCAAATGGAGTTCAGTTGTATTTGCACTGTAACGAACGGAAGTAACTGGAACTCGGTGTAATTTAGACTGTAGGCCATTATAGCTTAACAGGGGTTTTGTTGCCAAGCAAATCCCTTTTTTTGAAGATTGAATGAAGATTTTATTAAAAACTTCACTTTGAATGTTTCCAGTTGATTAGTTTTAGAGGTAAAGAGTCATATCCTGGCAGGTTTGTGGATTTGATGTTTTGAAAGATGGCTTTCCAATGATAGCAATGTCATTCAGTTGTATTTGCTCAAAAGGGAAGGGGAGTATTATTATATATATATATATATATATATATATATATATATATATATAGTCTCTGGGTGTTTATAACGGTGTGTTTTTAGACTGGAGCCCTCAATTGAAGCTATTATTTGTGCTTTTTAAAGAAATAAAGTAGCTTCATTGGTTGCATGTTTGCCTCATTAGAAAGTGGTCTTAGTTTGACATGTTAGAGTATTTTCTTTATCGGTTTTAAGGATTAACAGGAGAACTTTAAATCAACAGTATTTCATAAGTAGTAACCCTTGCTAAGATGTTAAACGGTGCAATTATGATGAAATGCCTTCTGTCAAGCTTCATACTGCTTACATAGAGTTGTAAATCTGATTTGAAATGATTGTATTTCCACCTGGTGACACTGCAGGTCACCTAAGACCGAACGGGTCTCAAACTCTATTGAGTTGTTGGCAAAGGGAGGAAACATGAGAACAATCCTGTTTGTCCTGCATGTGTTTGTTTTCCATTGACTACAATAGTATTGATCTAATTTGTTATTGACCTGAAGGAGTCAGTTGGCCACACTGAAGACAATAGTGTGGTGTCAACTGTTCTTTTGAGCTGTTAAATATAATAATGGTCATTTTAGCTGCAGATTGTGAGACTTTTGAGTTCCTGTTGTGAATATGTGTGCCTTGTCAGGGCTCATTCGTGCCCTGGGGGTCCTCTTCCAACTGCTTTACAGTCTGTACAGTCAGCCAGCCCGACCAGCCGGTTTTTCATTATCTAACTGTCGAAGACATTTGATCAACTTTCTGCTTCAAGTATTCATGTCACAATGGTGCATGTATATGTCATAAATACATGTACTTCACCTGAGTATTTCTGTTATGTGAGAAAATGGTAGTGTCTTTTGTTCTTGGGATTGTAGTTCCTAACGTGTCCTTATTCTATTGATTCATATTTTTATTGTGAATTTTCCATTTTATTTACAATTTTTGGGCGGTACTTTAGACTTTTGTTTTTATCCCAGTTTTTTAGTCAAAAGTGACGCCTCTAAATGTCTTGTTTTTTCACTCAAAAACCCAAAGATATCCACCGTAATAAATTATACAACAGACAAGCGATTAACGGATGTAAACAAGTTGATAGACATCTTAATTAGTCAATGGTTGCAGCTCTACTTCTTATTTTATGGGTCTGAAATTGTAGGTCTATTAAAAGTGATACATTACACATCATTAAAAAAATAATTTCTCCTATTTTTATTGTCAAATTCTTCATGTAAACCAGTTGGTTCACATTAAAAATAATTAATTAATGTCTACTGCACGGTGCTCATTTAAATCTGATATCTGTTGTTTGTGTCACATGACCTCCTCATAATGTGCTCATGCAGACTCGGGCTCTTGATTTGTATATTTACTAAAGCAGCTACCGGAAGCTAGGAGACAAACCAGGAAATAAAACAAATGAAAAATGGCAGAGAGGAAATCTCTCCAGAATGATCAGGACATTACAGACTGGATCCTTATTTTTCTGCCTCTACATGAAACAAGTTATTGTAGTCCTCCACTACATATCTCTGGCTGCTGATAATTATTGTATCATATAAAAGTACACTTCAGTCATAGAAGTATTTCAATCTTAGGACTTCGTCAGACTGAGTAGACCCTTTTGATACTACTAACTAATTACTAACACGTTGTCTACACTAGGTTGGTTTAAGGCATCTCCAAACGGCACAGTTCACGCCTTTTTAGCTTAATATTGTAAATACAGAGCAGTGAGTACAATGCGTTACTGCTCGACTCGTTCTTTTATCATTAGGATTTTGTGTGGATAAGTACCTGGTACTAATTATTTTGTATATTTGTTTGTGCAGATTCTTAGAAGATGAGGACATAGCTTAATTTATTCATGCATCTGTATCTCTGACACATCGTTTTAGATTTATTCATTCACCTCACCTTTTTTTCAGATTTACGACCCGTGAGTCATTTGTGTAACATATTGACAGATTGATCCTGCAGCATCCTGCCCTGCAGCTGAAACCCTCTGCATGCTGTGTTGATGTTAAACGCTTTAAACTGGTGTGACCTCTGTGCTCAGTCTCTCTGTGGAGCTTTCTGAGGGTTTCATGTGAATGATATGATCTTAACAGTTTTCTCACTTCTCATTCTGACCAGTTACAGCTGCAGTGTGATGCAACAGATCTGCACACATTCTTTCAAATGCTTTCAATATCAACTATTTGAAATATATCAGAAAACTCCCTTGAATCAGAAGCATTTTCAGGAATTTCATTTAATCCCAACCAAAACACGTGAGTTTTTAAGACTCGGAGCAAATGTTATCCCCCTGCTGCTTAGCCCCCTCTTAGATTTGTTGAAATGACCTCACCTCAGAGTTTGTACGTTTGGACAAACACATTTTAATATAGTGACATAAATCAATACATGCAGCTTGGTCCCTCGTGGAAAGAAAAGGATAAATGGTAGCTGGTGGAAAGGGAAATATTTGGAGAATTATATTATGGAAAAAACTTGAATATTCTCAAGGGTTTAAATTGGTGAAGTTGCTATTTAAAAAAAAAAAAAAAAAAATCTTAGAAACAAAACCTGAATATCGTCAAATATTATAAAGTGACACGTTGACAAAAATACCCAAAGAATAAAGTGGTAACGTATAATCTAAAATGTTAAAATCACAAACTTATGAAGTTGTAATGTTTTATTGTAAAGGAACCACCATTAATTGGCTCCATATTTTATTTCTTTACCTACATGCTCCTGATACTCCATTGTACGGCTAAACAAATCTGCAGATTCATTGACATTTGTTTGCAGTTTTGGCAGATGAAAGAAAATGTGATCTCTTAAATTCCGAGTTCCTACTCCCTGTATGATAACCCCCTCTGCGGCTCTGTATTATTATCATTATCTGAAGCAAGCTGCAGTCAGCTGGTGACCTGTCCTCTCTGCTGGGTCTCTCTCTCCTCAGGCTTTAACCTCATTTTAACTTTTTTTTTTGGCTTGTTGTTTTGAGTTTCTCTCCCTGCTGCTTCTAACACGCTGTCTTCTCTTTACAGCAGTGTCCACCAAGATTTAACAGTTGGTACTAAGGTAGGCACCTCTGCTTCCTCTTCCTCCCCCTCTCTTCCTCCTCCTCTTCCTCTTTGTTGGTTTGTGTTCTGCTGTGAAATGCTTCAATTTGATTTGCAGAATTAAAGGTCACTAACAAATCTCTTTTTCAATTATGATAGGTCTTAGTTGCATGAAAAATGTCTCCCAACAGGAAACACTTATTCTAATATTTATTGTTTATTCATCAATTAATAGTCTAGTTTTTGGGAGTATGAAATGTCAGGAAATTGTGAAAATGTATGTTTTAGAACTTTATTTAGATTAGAACTTAATTTATAATACAGTTTCATTAGTACTGCCACTAACATGTGTTTATGCACACTGTACAGGTTTTCGTTATTTCCTTTCACAATAAAAGCCCTAGACACATGCGCGCTGCATTTCTAAACGTTAAAGGGGACTTAAAGTCACTAATGGCGCTTTTCCACTGCAGCACGTAGCACGCTTTTCCACTAGGGGTAGTTCCGGCTCAGGGCTGCTTTTTCACCTTTTTTCTGGCCCTCCAAAATCAAGGTTCTTACCGGGCCAACAACCGGGCTGAATATGCTAAACTAGTGACGTAAACACTCTCGACTGCTGATTGGTCAGAGAGAATCGCTGGCAAGGGGGCTAAAACTACAACAAAATGAACATATGTTACCGTGATTTAATTGTAATACACGTTTCAAAATGATGCCGAAGTAACAACATACTGATACCGGTTAGTAAAAACCATGAATTAATGCTTTGACAAGTCTGCAGACAGACGGCAGACGAAACACCTTTTAAAATGCGTGTTGTCTAAATGGAGATCGGCTAAGCTAACGCAGTATATGCTCCGACCGTCCACACTCACAACAACGGCCTATACAGACATAAATAAACCAGCGACTGTATTCACCATGACACAGACAGTCTGTGGTTTGTACTTGTTTAACTTTTGTCTAGTTTCTGAACAGATATGAGGAGCTGTGAGCTCTGAGTGCTAACAGCTAACGGCTGATGTTGGTTTTGTGGTTCGCATTGAAGATGACGTCACGGCAGTTTTACGCA